CTTGGTTATGTGCTTCACAGCAGGTGAAACATCACTTTTCCAGTTAGTCCAAAGAAAATGAGACTCAGAAGAGTTAAGCAACTTTCCCAAGGTCAAATGGTAGTAGAGCTGGGATCCAAATCCACGTGTAACCTCAGTGAGGTCTGACTCCAGGTCTGTCCCACTGGGGAACAGAGGGTCAGCCATCATGGGAGAGACGTCCAGATCACAGGTCATTTTAAGTGGAAATACTCTAAAATCCAGGGGCAAAATTTCAATTAGTCTCATCAGATATATTTTGTATCTACCATGTGCATGGCTGTTTGGCCTCCCTTGTATTATCGATAACTGTGTAATAAATGATCACAAACTTTGCAGCTTAAAGCAACATTTATTATCTCATAGTTTCCATAGGTCAGGACTCTAAGCTCTAAGCAAGTTAGCTAAAACCTCTGCTAAGGGTCTTTCTTTCAAGGCTACAATCAAGGTATTGGCCAGGGCTACACTCTTATCTGGACGCTCAAGTGGGGAAGGATCCCTTTCCCTGCTCACATGTCTATGGGAAGCATTCAGTTCCTTGGGGTTGTAGGACTGAGAGTTTTGGGTTTTTTCTGGCTGTTGGCTGGAAACTGCTCTCAGATCCTAGAGATGCCACAGTTACGTGCCATGTGGCGATTCCCCCTGTGGCTACCTGCTTCTTCACAGTCAGCCAAGGAGAGAGATTCCTGCAAGATGGGTCCTGTTCGTTTTTGTAATATAATCACACACACCTCATTACCTTTGTCATATACTGTTGATAAGAAGCAAGTTGTGGGTCCTGTCCACACTCAAGAGGGGTTCATACAAAGGCTTGAACACTAGGAAGCAGAGCTCATGGCTGGGGGCGCCTTGATGGTCCATCCAATCCATCCCTCTTGTCCTTTGCCCTCTTTCCTCTCCTTTCTTACCTTCTTCTTTCATTTCCCCATCCTGGTCTAGACTCAGACGTAGGGCTTTGCTAAATCAAATAATCTAAATAAAAGTTTTACATTAATGATGCCAACAAGTTATATCACTTTGTGCTAGGAGCCAGGCCAGTTTTCTTTTTAATCTATTGAAGTATAATCTACATACAGAAACCACAACATCCTAAGTATAGAGCCTGATTAATTTTTCAGAGACTGAATATACTTGTGTAAACAATACACAGATCAAAGAGCAAGATATTATCTGTACCCCAAAGTCCTCCTCAGGCTTCCTTCCTCTTCCTATCACCCTCAAAGGTGAATCTCTAACAACACAGATTACTTTTGCCTCTTTTTGTACATTTCATAAGTGGTATTCTATAGCTTGTATTATTTTGTGTCTGGCTTTCTTCACTCAACATAGTATTGGAGCATGTGGTTCTAGGTTGTTCTTTCTCATTGCCAAACAGGATTCCATTGTGTGAATAGACCACAACTTACTTATCCATTCTGCTGTTAATGGGCATTTGGGTAGTTTCCAGTTTGGAGGTATTACAAACAGTGCTGCTAGGAGCAGTCCAGCGTGTGTCTTTTGATGAATGCACATAAGCACTCCTGTTAGATGTCTACCTGGGAGCGGAATTGCAGGGTTGTAGGGTATGCATACTTTGGTGAGCTATGTTTTTATGTATAATTCCCACATTCCATCTGTGAGGAAGGCATCATCAGCCCCTTTAAGAATAACAGCACTTGAGCCAGACCTATACTTCCTCCAGAGGTCCTGAAAGATCACACAGGAGGAAAGGCCAGCTGGCACAGTGGAGAAAGGGTGGGTCTGGCCCCAGTGCTCGCTCACTGTTGGAAACCCTCCCTACTTTTTCTGCAGAGGCCCATTGTTTTGGAAGAGCTCTGCATACCAAGCTACCAAGCAAACATTGTGTGCTCAATACTATTTAATTCATCTTTCAATGCTTTTATTAGTAAAAGACACATCTAACCAGCTTCAGAGCTGCTAATCCAACCACCCGCCTAACAGAAATGATGTAATTTCAAGATAAAACCAAAGAAAGTCCAAGTTTGGGCTCACATCTGCGGCCTCTTACAAGAACTCAGGGTTCCTGTTGGGCTGTTGGAACACTGACGATGTGCTGGCCTCCCCCTGTGAGGGTACAGGAATTCGGAGAGGCTGGAGATCCCCACCCCACCTAAGGAAATCTGAGGCCCACACCATGTCTGAAATCCGATTTATGATCAATAAACATACATTAATGTAAAGTAATTTATAACACATTTGGACCAGAACTAAATCATCATTGTAAATGATTTTTCAAAGCCTTAGCCATTTACTTGGGGCTTGTTCTTAAGCTAAGATAGGTTATATGAAGACAGTAAGGAGCATTTTCCAAACTGCCACCAAGTTGTCAGAAAGCCTTCAGGTTGTTGCTCGCATGTGGGTGTACTTGGTTCTTTCGTCTCTCTGTTTCTGTTCTTAATCTCTCTCTTTCTCTTTCTCTCATATAAACATGTATACATATATACTAGAGACAGATATCTATCTTTATATTGCTAAAAGCAAAATTGGGATTCCACTGTTCCTTACCTTTTTATTAGCATTTATTTGTCCATGTGATAAAAGAAAGTAATAGCAAAATCATAATTTAAAAAATTGCTATTTAAAAAATTGCAGTTACCATGATTAGTTACACTAATTCTCTATTAGGAGACATCTAAGCTTGTTTCCATTCACCACTGCAAATAACACTGCATGAATGTGCTTCCACCTAAATCCTTGGGGACATCCTAATATTTTCTTTAGGCTAAGTGATAAGATGTTGAGTAACTCACCAAATGGGTTGGCTCTGGGATGTTGGCTTTTGAGTCTCATTATCAAATACAAATTTATGCCACTGCCAACAATGTACAAGAATGTCTTTTCTGCCCACACTGTAATTTTCTACTACAAATAATTTTTCTCAGTTTTATGTGTAATACATGATAGTTTGGTTTTAATTGTATTTAATTGTTTCCTGATGAGGTTAAATAATTTTTCAGATTTGCTGTCCATTTGTGTTTCTCTTTATTTTGCATTTTGTATTCTTTTTTATTTAGCATGTTTTCCCACTCTGCCCCCTGCCCCTCAAATGTCACCCTGTGCTCAGGCAAGTCTCTTTCCAGGCTGCATCTCTGCCTTCACCATGGGAATAATATTAATGTCCCACAGAATAACTCAGCATTGTCAAATGCTTGGGAAACAGAATATGTGTCAGAAAAATGCACACTCAGAAAGTCCACGGCTGGCTTGGCCCACCACATTTGTCATTCCTTCAACTGGGATGCCCGATCCTCCCAGAGCTGTAAACCTCACATCCCATGCAGACTCTGGACACCATTGCCCTGGGGCCATCAGAGTAGGCTGGCTACCTTACCTAATGACTTAACCAGGTGAGGTTCATGTGTACTTCTGGGTTCTACACAGTTGTACCTCAGAGGAAATGTTCCTACTGCTTTGGGGAAACAGGCAATCATAAATTAGGTAACAATACAGCACTGACTGACTTATCCTCATAAGGGTTTAACATTTCTGAAGTCAGCAAGGGGCCCACTGCCTGAGCCATGGGCAATTTGCAGACATCACTTTGGGAAAGCTCAATGCCCCTTGCTTAGCCAGACGGTGTCCTGGGGGCTTGTAGGAGCCAAGGCACCCCACAGGGCAAGGCCAGATCCATCCATCCTGTATCTTCATCTGGACCAAATGTTAACTTTCAGAGACATGAGACAGAGACAGGAAGTCACCAAACAGTGGGAAGTCCTTCCCCCCTGTGCTGAGACTGCTCTGTTGCCTCTCAAGTTCCTCCTCCGCTAGAGGGGCTGTTGCCTGGACAGCAGGTACACCCTGATGGACGGTGAGTCATTCAAGTAGGTGTAGACAAAGGATAAAAGAGTAGCTCTCAGGCCTTGGCTGGGGCCAGTTAGCTATCAAGGCCACAGCTGAACTCAGTGTCCCATAATAAATTATGGTATATCTTTACCAGAGAATATTAAGTAACTATTAAAAATAATGTTTTCAAAGAATTTTTATGACATTGAAAAATGCTCATGACATGAAGTAAAATGAAAGAAGATGTAAAACCCATATCTAGTCTATTGAACATGATTGCAATTATGTAAAAGACTAGCTGGAAATAATGTAATTTATCTGTGTAGGTAAGATTATGTTTGAGTTTTATGTTTTTTCTTATTATATATTTTACATTTCCTACATTACACATTTGAGACTTTTGTTCACCAAAAAAAAACCCCAATCATTGATATTCTGAAAGGTCAAATCTGGCCTGGGAGTTCGCAGGATCCTATATGTTATTTGATTCTGCTCTCGTCTGTTAGTGTTAGGAATGCGTGTGCCACGGCACCAGAGGGCCGGGAACAGGGCAGCAGCCTTCCCAGAGAATGAAAACGCTCTTACTAAGCATCAGAGCCAGCATCTGCTCTCATCCCTCACGCTTCTTCCTCCCGCCCTTTCCTTCTTTCCTCCTTTCCTTCCTTCCAAAGTTTTGTTCCCCTTGGGCCCTGGGAAGTCTTTTGAAGAGGAAATCTTAGAGCCCATCAAAACCAATTTCAACAAGCTCAAAATGTCAATTGTGCCAATGCTGAACAGGGGTCAGCTTGGCAGCCCTTCTTATGGACAAAGCTTGGTGGACCTGAAGAGTGTTCTGCCCTGCTCTGCCTTCTGGTGAGCCGGTTTCCATTCTGCCTTCTGCAGAATATAAAAATGACAATAGCATCTTCACCAAGAGTAGCAGCAAGACCACCATCATGTACTGAATGCTTATCATGTGCCAGACGCTGGATGAAAACATCACCTATTGTCTTATTGGGTCTTTAAACCAAACTCCTTTACAGATGAAAAATACAAGATTAAGTAATGAGGTGGCTGTATCTTAATCTGTATTAAGGAGAAAATAGTTGCCCCAGGGGACTCTCCCTCTGCTGATGGGGCCCCCTGGATCTCGGCCTTGGCTGCTGGAATTGGAGAAGCTGGCTGGGAGAAGAGTATTACAACAGGAACATTTGTACGTATCTTTCTAAGAGGGACAACACAGCTCACTTTAGAATAACATAAGTTTATACTGACAGGCTTTAGTGATATGACAGGTACAGCTCATGGGAAGTAGGAAGTTGAAGACTCTAGTCAGGAATGTGGCACCCAGATGGCCCCCAGCCCTTCCCACTTCGCACTCATCTTTGCTGTTTGCCTGACTGGCAGTTTTGATGGCTTGAGATACCAACCAATGTTCAGGCCCATGGCCTCTGGGGAATCGGATCTTTTCCTACAGTTTGCCAGGAATGTGACAGCAGTAGATTGGGCCTCACTAGCAGTCCCCCAGTTGGCTGGTAGTGGAGGCCCAGCAGTGAGAAAGGGATGCTTGCTGGTCAAATGGATTGTTTGGAGCTGATGTGGGAATACTGAGCATCCCAGACAAGTTTATCCCACCTATTATCACACAGTCAAATGTAATTATTACTTATTCTAGTAATATATAGGAAAAAATGCAAACTATATAGGACATTGTTTTTAAAAAAACCAAACCAGTTCTTTCATGACGTCATGGCTACAAGGTTAACTAGTACCAAATGTAATTTGTGTATTTCTTCTAAAATAGTGGCTTGAGCTTGAGGACTTGCCTGCCTCAACTCCTGTCCTGGGAAGCTGACCCAATGGGAACTTAAATTTCAAGGGTGGATTCTTCTGCCTGGGTCTCAGTCAGTTCGGCTCCACATGATCTTGAGGTCCCGGAAGACCACGTGGGCTGCATTGCGTCCAGCTGCTCCCATGACGCCTCCTCCTGGAACGGAATCTCCCATGAACGCAAGCAGCACTCAGAAGCCCCGCCCCCAGGGCGCAGGCAGGGCGGGGCTTGCAGAGGAGCCTGCTGGCAAGCAGACTGGGGATGCGTGCAGGGTGGCGCTCCCTGCGGGCCACCACCGCAGGACTGTCACAGATTCTGGGCTCCCCGCCAGGCTTCCTGCATCAGAGCTCTGGGGAGAGCGCCGGGCGCACAGTCCAGGCGCCTCTTCTCAATCCAAGAGCCTATGTGCTGGATGGCAAGCCTCTCAGCACATGAAACTAAAATGCCAGACTAAGGATTTGAGGGGGATGATGTGGAAACACAGACCCTTCTGGGAAGCCAAGGCCCACACAGCTCAGAGAAAGGGTCAGCACAAAACACAGCCTCAGTGAGGTCAGGTAGGCTTGGACTAGGCACAGGGTAGAATTTTTCAATTGAGAAATGTTAAGGATCAAGCTTGATCCTTACTGGCCTAAAACATGGAAGGGGAATTTAGGGACAGGGATGTCTCAAAACTCAAAATTGGAATTTGGAGAGATGCCTCTGGGACACATGTCAGACTTCATGAGGAGGAGATGCAAGCCAGCCTGAGGGGGTGGCCAGCTGGCGGTGGCACCTGTTTGTTTCCTGCAAGGAGAATCCTGAATATGGGGATGGCTTGTTCTCATGGGAGTTCTTGTTCCCCCGCCCTCTGCCTCCTCAGTTTTAATCCTGTTCCCCTGCCTGCCAGCCTCTGATGTCCCGCCAGCCCTCACCACCCACACAGGGGCTGAGGTCACTCACCTGGATGGGCCCCACTTCCGCAGAGATACAGGCCAGGGAGAGGGCAGCAGTAGCTGGAATGCAGGGGCACAGGGCGGGCGAAGTAGAGCTGGTCCAGGGCCATGGCGCAGTGAAATATGTTCTGCGGGAGGCAGGGCCACAGTCACTGGCATGAGGAGGGGGCGGCCTGACCGCCTTTCTGTGTCTCTTCCCCTCCCGTCCTCCCAGGAAGGCCCTCCCTCCAGGATGCTTGCTTGGTTCTCATGATGCAGAAAGGGAGGGAGAGAGAGAATGGGCACACATCCCAGGGCTGGGGTAAGTCTTCCAGAGGCATTTTTCAGGGAAAAGGAAGGGCGGGGAGCACTGTCAGAGCATGGGGAAACTGAATGGAAAGAAAGGGGGGATTTTAGAGGTTTTGCTGTGGACTATGCACCTCTGTCATTCTGTTTGAAAAATAGAGGAATTTGACTTATTTCAGTTGCTGGCACATGTTTCTTTGGCCAAAACACCCATCTGAAAATGGCCCTGGGGTTCCAAGCTGCAGCAGAACCACATTAACGGCAGACGAGGGGCACTGGGACCCAGCTGGGGTCTGCGCCACAGGCCTGGGTCACACGAGCTGAGGAGGGAGGCAGTGTGGGACAAGGGGCAGGCCAGGCCTATGGGCCAGGTCTGGACGAGAAGACAGACACCCACTGAACATCGCCACAGGATGTTCTTCCTGTTGACCCTCGACGTGTCCCAAACCAAGCTGCCGTCTTCCCTCAAGCCTGCTCCTCTCCCATCTTCCTGCCTCTGTGGACACCACCACCATCCTCTCCTTGGTCTCCAGGCCAGATTCTTCACACGCACCTGTCACTAAGACTTCTCAATTCGGCCCACCCCACGCCTTCCACATCCACCCGTTCCTTCCCCTTCCCACGGCCCCGCCCTCTTTACACCTGGACCAATGTGGTGCAATAAAAATATAACGTGAGCCACATGTGTAATTCTTATTGTCTAGTAGCCACATTAAAATTTTAAAACAAACTAGTGAAATTAACGTTAATAATATATTTTATTTAACCCAATGGATCCAAAACATCAGTTTCACATGTGATCAGTAAAAAAATTAATTAATTTTACATTTTTTTCATACTGTCTTTGCAGTCTGGTGTACACCTCACACTCACAGCTCATCTCACTTTGGCCTAGTCACATTTATGTGACCAATAGCCACAGGAAACCAGCGGCTGCTGTGCCAGACCCGGCCTCCTAACTGGCCCCCCGGCCTGCAGGCTCAGTGAGTTTTGATAAAGCAGAGAGAAGTCCGAGGAAATGCTGCCTTTAGAGGGCAGCTCCCTCTGGAGAAGCCAGATGGGAGAGGCTGATGGGGCTGCCAGGCAGAAGGGCCCTCACCCTGGTACCTCCTCTGCAGGCGCTGTCTCTGCTGTCTGTACCTGCTCACTCCTCCCTCACTGCCCAGATTTGACCCCTTCTCTGTCCCCCTTTCCACCAGGTCTCTGCCCCTGTTCTCCCTTCCCAATAAAGGCTGGGAGTGGAGGGGCAAGAAAGTTGATGGCAGGCCAGGGAGTGGGGGTGCAGCAAGAGGAAGGCGATGAGGGACCCCCAGATTATACTCACCCCTCCAGGAAGTCCAAAGATTCTCTCCAAATCAGGCGGTGTGAGGATGTCTCTGCCCACCACGGAGGCCTTGAAGCCAGGGGCATAGGCTTCGATGCAGTCGAACACTGGGTACCAAATGGCAGGGAAACAAGACGGTGTTAGGAGGAAAATGAGGAGGTATGACTGTATAACTTGGGAAATTTACCAAAATTCATTAAGCTATACACTTAAATGGGTTTTTTTAATCATATGAAAATTATCTCATTAAGCAAAACCCAAAAACAGTCCACAGGCAAATAAACAATTCATTACAAAGGCACATGAGTCTCAGGCTAGCCCTATTTCTTGCCTCTTCATTCCAACCCTAAACACAAAGTTACTTTCTTCACCTCATTGCTTGGCTTAAGTTACTTTCTTTTGCTTAGAACGCCCTTTGCTCTCTAGCCAACTCTTGTTCATCCTTTAAAACCCAGTGCGAACGTCCCTTCCTTTGGAAAGCCCTCCTTGCCTGTCTGGCTCACAGCTTCCTCCTTTGGTTCACGCAATACATTTACTGTAAGATTGGTTCCTATTTGCCTCCCTCACAGGACTGTGAGCAGCATGGGGGCAGGAACTGTGTCTTTCTGACTTTCTGGCCCAGTGCCTGACCCCAGCAGGCGTTCACTATGTCGGCTCAGCTTCCCTGGGGTGCTTCTCTCCCTCTGGGACAGGACTTGCAGATGTGGGCCCTGAAAGGGCAGTCAGGAGCGGAGCGGTCCATTTGGGCCACATGGCCAGCTGTCCCTCTGGAGATGGGATGGTCTAGCCCTCTTTACCTTTGTCCGCATAAGCGTTTTTCTCCTGCTCATCCCAGACCTTGCCTCCAGCCAGCGTGTAGGGAGTGTACTGAGTGAAGAGGGAGATGACATGGCAGCCAGGGGGAGCCAGGGTGGGGTCCAGCGAGGAAGGGATGCAGAGCTCAATCATAGGCCTGCGACATGGGGAAGGAGAGAGGGTCAGGCTGAAGAAAAGCTGCTGCCCTGAGGGAAGGGGCTGGGCGCCACTCTGAGATGACTGGGGGAAAATGAAGGCCTGGGATGAGCTGGCACCAAGGCCAGCTGACTGTCTCTGTGAGGCCCGGTGTTTGTCAGCTTGCCCAGCTCAGGGACCACCAAGCCAGTCCAGACCGCCCCTGAGAGCTCCGTGAGCCCCGGCCCAGCCTCCAGGCCCAGGGTCTCTGGTCCCACCCAGCCCTGCTCTAAATGCAGGGCCTGTCCCCACCACACTGCCTCTCCTCGAACCAGGGTCTCAGATGTCTCTGGGGTCCGACAGACAACCCAGATGAGTGATGGGGCCAGGCCTAAGATGGCAGGTGCTGAGGTAGCCGGATTTCAGCCATGCCTACCCCTGTCTGATTACCTCTTCCTGAGCAGTCCAAGCCAAACAGAGTTGCTGGGGCTGCCTGACACCCAACAGAATCATGAACTGTTTCCTGCCCCTCCTCCTTGTTTACACCACCTTTTCTATAGGGAGCATGTTTTCCCTTTGATCTCCAAATATGACATCCTTCAAGGCCACCAAAATGCCCCTTCTCCCCATATCCTTTACTTGCAAGGTGTCCTCTGAATTTGGATGCCCAGTAAGAATCTCTAAAATAGAGTGTCCAAACCCAAACGCCTAAAACCTGTTCCTTCCCTTTCCTGCTCATCCCTCCACACACCATCTTCCCCACTTTCTGTCCAACAGCACATCCTGCCAGCTTCACTTGCAAATACCCAGAATCTGGCCACTTCTCATCACTTCCACTGCCCCAAGCCTGGTCCAAGCCACCATCCTCTCTCCCTTGCATAGCAACCAATTGCAACAGATGCTCTTTTTCTCCATACAGTGGCCAGAGTGGTCCTTCTAAAATACAAGTCAGGCTCTACAAAGCTAGGAGTGGTCAACAAGGCCCAGTAAGATGTAGCAGCTGCCGCTCCCTGACCCCATGTCCTACCCTGTACTCCCAGGTTCTCTTTCTCAGCCACTGTGGCCTCATCTCTGTACCTCCAGCACAGCAGCACGTTCCTGCCTCAGGCCCTTTGCACCTGATGCTCCCTCTGTTTGGATGTTCTTTCTTAGATATCCACGAGACCTGCATTCTCACTTCCTGTGGGTCTCTGTTCAGCATCATGTTCTCGGGGAAGCCTTTCCTGACCTCCTTATAAAGACTAGTAAACCCTCCCCTCCCCTGACCTGCCTTTCTCTGTATCATCAGTGTGTTGGTTATTTTGTCTTCCACCATAGAAAGTCAGTGACCTGAGGGCAGAGGCAGTGCTGATTTTGCTTGCTACACTGTGCCCTGATCTCTTAACCAATCCTGGCACAGAGTAGCAGCCCCCAATTATTTATGGATAATGGTCTTTGCCCTCCGCCTTTCCCCCAGGGCACTCATCCTCTTTACCTCATGCTATGAATATTTGCATGTCTGTCCTATAATATGCTTTGTGTCTGCTTCATGCTCCTGTCTGATCCACCCCCACCTAGCCCTACCTAATACACCGCCTGGCACAGAATAGGTTTTTTACAAGTGTTGGTGGACAGTTGATGGTATGGAATGATGTATGCTCCTATAATATCCCTGCCTGTTCCCAGAAGGATGGAACAGCTGTGGTGGGAGGTGGGAAATGTTTCAGAAGTTTTATATGAGGACAGCTTATCAGAAATAAGAATTCACTTATCAGAATACAGAATGCAGGACTTAGGTGGGTTGTGTCCTCTGATGAGCTGCTAAATCAGAGAAACTCCTTTTCTCTCCCAGGAAGGACTCTCTCCAGTTCTTCCCAAATGCTGGTGATCTTCTTTCTGCAGTCCTTCACCCCATCTGCTAACCTGGGGCCAAACACATCCTACTCTTCCCTACCGACGAGGTCCCACCCCTTACCTGCCCCAGCCCACAGACTTCTTGCCTGGGATGCTTTTCCTACCCTTAGAACTTAAGTATGGCCTTAGACAGACCCTAGGTCACTGTGAATGTTGAACACCAGGAGGAAGAGGCAGTCTTGCAGTGTCTGGACCATCACCACCACTCCTTGGCCCATGTGCAAGAATATCCAGGGGATGCAAAGGCCAGGTCTACCCACCTGCGGGAAGGCCAGCCACTCATGGCATCTGTGAAGGCCTGATGGAGGAGGAGCGTGTCTTCACAGTTCAGGTGGATGGAGCACTGGTGATGGGGCAGAGGCTGGCCCCCAGGAGCATTGGGGGCTGCCAGGAAGTTGGGCAGCCTGTCGACAGCCACTGAGGGACACAAGGGGGTGTCAGGGCCCAAAGCCTGGGTCCCCAGCCCCCAGGAACTCCTTCTGTACCCATCACCCTGCTCACCCAAGTGGTAGACTGGGAAGAAAGATTATGAAAAAGTGTTTGACCTTTGAGTTGAGGGGTAAGCTGGAGGTCAGGGAATAGAAATAATGATGTAGATCAGTTTTTCCCAGACTTGGAGATTTCTCACTCCAATAATGTCAAAAGAGCCAGCTCTGCCCTGCTGTGCCCCTTACCATTGATCTTGGTAACAGGTGACTGGGTGTCTAGCTGGGAGATTCTTTCCACGAACTCCTCAGGAAGCCACTCCTGGAAGAAGGTTCCATGCGGCCTGAGGATTCTGAAGCCCCAGGTGGTTGCCTTCTTCCTTTGCCCAGACTGGTCCTCAACCTCTATGGCCAGAAGTCCTCCCCATCCTTCAGAGCTCAGCCAAACCACCTCCTCTGTGAAGGCTTCCTGGACCCCCTTTGGCTCAGCTCTAACCACCTCCTCTGCTTTGCCAGTAGGCCTGCCTATAAATGGCCTGCAGCAACTCCCGCTTTGGATATGGCCAGTGGGCTGCAGGCCTCTTTTCTCCTTTGGTCTGTAAGCTCTTGGAAGCCTTGATTATCTCAGAATTGTTGACAGAATACTTTTGGACAAATGTTTTTTGGATTTATCACTCAGAAAAGTGGTGCCTTGTGCTCAAGAATAGTCCTAAGAATGGCTGGGAATTCTGTGTTCATATACATATTGTCTTATCATTAGGGGACAGGCAAGGCACGGTCAGTTGCAGAAATTACCCCAAGCCCTTGCACCTCCCTGTGCATTCCCCTGTGTAACACGCTTTCACCATGCTCTGGGCTTGGCCAAGAGACAAGGCCAAAGTTAGCACAGGATATAGACAGGAGCCTGACAAGCAGTTTCATGATTGAGTCTGCTCACTTTTGTCCTCTGTCAGACCCTGAGAACATGCCTGGACTAGCACGTTGGCAGATAAGAGACACATGGAGCACACTCAAGTCATCTGGGTCATTCTGGCAGCAATCATCCTGGACAAGCCATAGTCAACCAACCCCTGGGTACGTGTGCTAGGCCAGCCAAGACCAGCAGGGTCTGCTAGTTGCCTCACAGCTGATGGAAGGTGCACGAGTGAGCCCAGGTCAGCCGAACTCAGCCAAGATCAGTTGAATTTTCCAGCTCTGTGTGCTGAATCAGGGTTTCTTTTTATATGTGCAAAATTATGTGGTTGCTTGTTATGCAGCATTAATACGGCAATAGCTAATTGACACAGACAGCAGAATTAGAGTTGGAAGAAATCAGCATAGTAGAGAAGGTGTGGAAATAACTCTGGACTGAAAGACAGACCTGGGTTCTAGCTTTGGCTCTACTGATGGCCAGCTGCATGGTCTCGGTCACTTCATCTCTCCGGACCTTTCTCCTCACCTATAAGGCTTTTACCCTGTTTGCTACCTGCCTGTTAGGTCAGGGAGAGAAGGACTGGCTTCCCTACATGCAGAAAGACTTCACATTTGTATCTTCGACCCTGACGTAGTCCTGATTCCTCTGAGGCCCTCTACTTTCCAACCCTCCCTTGGCAGACCTCTTACCTCCACCCCCAGGCCTCACCTGTGGTGTCAGCTTCAAAAAGGTGATCTGCGGAGATGCGTTAGACAGCACCACTTTGCTCCTCACCTCTGAGCCATCTTGCAGCACCACTCCTTGGACATTCCCTCCACTGCTCACGTGTAACTTAGCCACCGTCTAGAGCCCACCGGAATGAGGCCCAGAAACCCCCCAGGAAGAGAATGCAGGTTGGATCTTGGGGGATTTCAGCTTCCTTAGCCGGAAGCCACCCCGCTGTGCTCAGCAGCAATTTGGTAAAGCCTTAGCCCACCCCTCTGACGTAAAGGCTTGGCCCAAATGTGGGTTATTGGCCAGCAAATTCAAAGAGGTGGTCAGAAGAAATAGGACCTGCTTGATAGCTGCTCAGCCGTTAACAGGTTGGATAACCTTAGCCCCTGGGTCCCGAGCCCCACTTTGTAGCATCAGTAAACGAGGGATCTTCTGAATCTGACATTTTGTTCTGTCCTGGGATCACTGCTAATAATCGGGGGGTGGGGGCAGATGATTCACCTTTTCAGTGAAGATGCTTGCTCCATGTGCAGTGGCTGAGCTTGCAATGGCATCAGAGAGGGCACCCATGCCTCCCTGGACGTAGCCCCAGGCCCCCTGCAGGCCCTCCAGGCCCCCCATCACGTGATGAAGCAGCACATACCTGAGGACGATGGTCAGAATCAATGGCAGGAGGTGGGATGAATCTCCCCAGGGTCCTAGGTTTGCTAGTCCTTCCTGTCTAGCACCTCCCTCCCTCCCCTTCTACATCCTCTCCACACGCAAATGAGTCTGAGGCAGAGTTTAGTGCCCACAAGCCTGCGGCGGCCCTTAAGCCTGCGGCTCTTGCTCTCCTGAGCCCCAGCCCGAACACCACTACCTCAGATGTCTCCACTTGGATGCTTCCTCGGCAGGTAGGCAGCATAAACCCTTTCCCCTCCCCAACCCGTTTGTCCTTCCTTCTTCCCCAACCCGGTGATGGCTCCTTCAGCCTTCAACAGAAAGGGTCAGCCTTGACTCCTACTAGTCCCTCGCCATCTCCATCCAGTCAAGCGTTAATCAGGCTGCCTCCTGAAGGGCAATCCGCTCCCTGCTGCCTCTTCCCTGGCCCAGGCCACTCTCTGCCTTACCCGGATGCAGGAATGTCCTCCAGTCTGGATCACCTTCCGCTCTTTCTTCCTTGCAGACCCCTCCCTGCACAGAACTTGGAGCCCAATCTCAAAACCCAGCTCTGCTCCTCTTACGGCTTTCCTTCCAAGCCCCCACCAGCTCACTGCTGCTCCTGGCTAATGGCCTGGCCCCAAAAGTGGCCTCCGGGGCTCCTGTTCCTCGTCAGCCCCCTCCCTCACCAAGCTCCCCGCACAGCCCACACTCCGACCAAAGCAAACCTCTGCTAGTCCCGTGACTGAGCCGCATGGCCTGTTCCCAGCTCCCAGCACTTGCCCAGCAGCCTAGGACCCCCTTCCTCCCTCGTCTTCCGTTGAGCTAACTCCTCCTGTCCTCAGAGTCTCAGACTGAACATGTCTCTCCCATGGGCGGCTTCTCTGACTGCAGACCACATTGCTTTCTGCTTCCCTTCCCTATCTAGCACTCAGCCCTCCATTATCACTGCTTAATCTACCTCTACCATTAGGATTTCAGCTCCATTCACTACAGTGTCTTCAGCACCTAGCCAGACAAGTGCTCCATCAATATTCATTGGAAGAATTAATGAAGAAACAAATTGCTTAAAGATACATTTCACAAGCTGGGCAGTAGCTCAGCCTCCCAGGGACCCACAGAGAAAAGGATGGGAGGCCCCAGCTGGAAGCCCCAAACGAGCAGCCTGATCACAGAGCTTGCTCAAGGTGTGGCAACTGCTGCCAAACCCCCTTCTCCCTGGCCTTGGAGATTTGGGGGCTGGCTTAATGTGTGTTCCGTTTCCAAGGGTCTCTCATTCCTTGAGAGGAAAGCCACGTTGACAGCTTCTAGCTGCATGTCCTGTGCACTGGAAGTGGCCCAGCACTTGGCAGCATCCTCTGTCTCAACACACAGGCACACAGCCCCCTCATTCCTGCTCCTATGAGGTGCTTGTTAAGCCAAACCACAGCTACAGGCTTTGCTGTGTCTGACTGCCCCCTCTCGGATCAGCTGCCAACACCCCCTCCTCCCCCCTCACAAAGGGAAAGGCAGCTTCTCACCTGCAGGAAGGTGTCTATGTGCGCTGTCCTGGAACCCAGGGAAAGGATCAGTGGGAGAGTGAGGGGCTACAGGGCTTCGTGGGAAGAGACAGAAAGAGGAGAGAGAGAACAAGAAGGAGAGTGGGAAGACATTCATGCTGAGATATCATAATAGGAGAGGCTTTTCTTACTGAAGCATTAGGAAATAGTGGCTGAGAAGGGGGATTTAGGGGATCAGCCAGCTTGGACTGGAAATTGGCTCTGCCACTGCCAGCTGGGTGACTTAGGGCAAAGACACTTCCCTCCTCTGAACCACAACCCTGGGATTTTGCTTTGAGGGTTAAATGAGTTGTGCATGACGCGCTTGGCCTCCTGCCTGGCTCATGGGGCGAGCTCAATGACTGACAGCTGTTGTCACCACTCTTGTTGTGGAATTTGCTCAACTCCTGCTGCCCCCACTCACCACCCGCACTCACCCGCTCCCCGGAGTGTGAGGACTTGTCAGGGCGCCAATCACAGCATCCGTTGCTAGAGTGGCTTTTAGAGGTTCAGACTCAAACCACTGATCCAGCACCTGGGACAGCCAAAGGGCAGAGGAAGGGCTTAGGAGCCTTGGAAGGTGCAGCCCCTTGCTGCAAGGTCCAGCTTGAGTCTGGGGAGCCCCTCACCTTGGCAATTGGGGCTGCGAGGACCTGGTAATACTGCGGCAGCTGGGCTCCCAGGATGCGGCCTAAAAAGACCCATAACCTAAATTGAGACAGGCAAGAAGGAAATGCTCCTATCTGTAATACCTGTTTCTTTATCTGTAAAATGGGAGTAATTTTTCATGCCCCCAAGAGTAATTATGAGGATTAAATGAGATATGTAAGGCATTTGCAATTTCATAGGCATTTAATACATTTTAGCTGTTAGAATTATTTTGGGAAAACTTTTAGCTTATTTTTTATTCTCTTACTTTGACCTTCGTGAGGCCTGGACCAAGGAGGCAGCCAGCCTGGCCACTTTATCCCTTCAACGCTGACTCAGACTATCTCAGACAGTAAGTGGGCAGTAAGGCCTGGGGGGCAGAAATTAGGGTCTCTCTGCATTGTAGCCCCAGTGCCTAGCTTAGAGTCTAGTGCACAGTGGTTGACCAGTAAATGTTTATTGCATGAAGCTCCTGGGATTGGTAATCTGAGAGGCAATGTCTCCTTGTGGCGTTTGTGACAGACGGGCTCCAATCCTTCACCCCTCCCTGTACCCACACGCCTTTGCCATGTAACTCTGCAGTGCCTCCCACTAGCTGGGCTGACATGCGCTGGTCTCTGATTTTGGACTCGTCCATGTGATTTGTTTGGCCAGTGGGATGCTTACAGATGTGAACTTGAAACTGGCCTGCACATCAGTGCCTGCCTTCTGCCATTACTGTAAAGAGGCCATGCTTGGACTGTGACTTCCAAAAGGAGGGTGAGTGAGAGGCCCCTGGAGCAGAACTGCCCCAGCTACAAACACATGTGTGAGACCAGATCAGATCAGCTGAGCCCAGAAGGGCTTGGCTGAACAGTGCAGATACATGAGAAATAAATGTTTATTTGTACATGCCACTGGAGTTCTGTCATTGTTATGCAGCAATTTTGTGACCACAGCTAACTGACTATTTTTCTAGAATATAGAAGCTAAATTGGTCTTTATAAGCTAAAGGAATGGTAGAAAATAATAGCATGCTTGGTGAAATTTCCCTTCATACCCATGGCAGACATCACTAACTAATCACAGAATTTTTCTGACCAAGCCCAAATTTGGCGTCCTTCTCGTATGCAGACATCTCTTCATACTATCTTGGCCCCTGTCTCTTATTCCAGGCATGGCTATGGTGATCGAAGCTCCATGAAGGCTTCCATCAGATTTATAGTGTAACCTGACAGCATCTTGCCTCAGACCTTTTCATTCTTCCTTGGGGCTTCTGGCACCATGACAGGACACCTGTGGGAACCCAGTTGACACCCATGGGTGCACAGCTCCAGGTTGGAGTTAATATGCCATGGGGCAGCCTTTGACCAGTAGAGGACAGAACCCAATAAATAAGTGTTTCCCCTTTCTTCTCTTGGGAATGGTCCTCCTGAGTGTTTCCTAGGCCTTCTCAGAGGTAGGATCCAGCACCTTGCCCCCCACAGTGGTGGCCAGCACAGTAGCAGAGCCTGACTCTCCTCTTTCCAGTTTTCCTCCTCCTTTCCCTGGGATCACCCTTCAGAAGGAGCTACTTGAACATAAGTCATTGTCTAAGGCTCTATTTTGCGGGGGGGGGGGGGCAGGTGTCATGCTGAGACTTCACTGAAGTGTCCCAGGCGGCTCCTACTAATTGATGGCAGTCGGCAGGCTGCCTTGGAGGTTCAGAAGGTCACTCATTGTGCCTGGATGCCTGCACTTTGGTCTTACCTGCCTGCAGCAGGGGTTTGAGGGTGGAGAGTGACTTGAGCCTTTGCAGCAGGGAGCCCCTCTGGAAGGCTTCCATGTCCACAGGGGCTGCGTCCAGCAGAGGGTCAATGGCTGATGCTAAACGATTCATGAATGCTTCATATTTGGGAAAGGCCTGGAAGAGAACCCAAAGTCAAGGTCCCATTGCCTAGAATCCCACAAGGATATTGCCCTGATCTCTGCCCTGAATGCTGCCCCCATGTGGCCAGCTGCCCCTCAGCTGAGCCTTGATGGCCTCAAGCTCAGACCTCAGGCCTCATGGCTTGGCTCTGCTATGCTGAGTCCTAGGACTGTGCTGACGTCAACACTAGGGGAGGTCAGAGAGATCCTGAACAGTAGGAAAGCCACTGGGGTGGTACTAGCAACAGGTGATTCATTCTGGCCAGGAACAGCCCTCAGCCACGCAAGACTGGCAAGTATCCTAGGATGTGGTCTCAGTGATAAGCCAAAGCCACTTAAAACTTTCTTCTCTGTGTCCTGTCTTTCCATGAACTACTGGTAAAATAAGCTCTCTTCTCCTGCACTCCAACATGCTGACTGTTCTGTCCTGGTCTGTACATCTCCCATGTCCTCTCGTCACAGCAGGAGTAGAAGCCTCCATCCCTTCCATCAGCACCTGGGGCAGGATCCACTTCTTCAGCCTGGTTATGGTGCCACCCTTCCTTCCCTGGAAGGGTCACAGGAGCCGGATGTGTGCTGGGCCACTCGAGGCCCTCTCTTGATTCTCAGCCTGGAGCTTTTAATTTTTGGTTCATCTATACTTGTGGATATACCCGTGGGATTTTAGTTAAATGTTACATAAGGAAAAGTTCTGTGTTGAAGGACACATGAGAGGTCTTGATAAAAATGCAGTTAAACAGCTTTCTCTTTCACAGGCCTTCATTTAATATGACAATGTGCCAAGACAACACCAGAATCAGGCCCCCTTACTTTCCAACTGGGATGTGTCTTCTGCCTTCTGCTCCTGTGGTCACTAGCATGCAAGGTCACAGCCACTGACCTATGGGCTCTGGGGCCCAACCTTGTTCCGAATGTTCTCTAATGCATCTGAGATGGGCAGGATTCAGAGGAGAGGGTGTAGGTAGTGGTCCCCAATTCGCTGCACCAAAGAATCACTTGAGGAGCACCTCAAAAAGCAAAGCTCCCCAGGTGAGAAGTTAGTGCTATGCCTTCAGCTTGGTACAAAAAATGGCCAAAGGATCTTTCTATATCTGCTAACCAATCACACCAGGCCCATTATATTATTCCATGACTCCTCTACACAAAGCTTCCCAGTGAATTCTTTATAAAGCAATCCCAAGAAAAATATGTGCATTTTCCATCATATGTATGTACCTCCTTTCACCAGACCTGTGTGCCATCAAGGATAATTTCTTGCCGTGGGCTGCCAGAGGATTGATGTCAAATTAAATGAATACTTATTACAACTGTCTTGTCCCAAATTCCTGATCTGATTCATTCCATCCTCAATTATCTCTGATCCTCCCTCATCCTTCTTTTTGGCTTCCATGTGCTGTAACACTGACACCCAATTGGAGTTCTGTCGGAAAGCAGGAGAGGTAGAAAGTGCACACAGTGTAAGTGTGCACCAGTGGGTTCCCTTCTGAAATTCAGCAGGTAGAGACCACCTGAGCAGTGGCCTCCCCCGGCACACACACAGGTTCCACCTGAGCAGTGGCCTCCCCCGGCACGCACACAGGTTCCACCTGAGCAGTGGCCTCCCCCTGCACGCACACAGGTTCCACCTGAGCAGTGGCTTCCCACTGCACACACACACAGGTTTGAGGGTCTCCAGGGTCCTCTGGTCTTAATCACTGTCCTCCATCCCCTTCTCTTCACAGTGCCTGGCATCAAAGGCTAGCAGAGACTGGAGCCCTGCTAGGGCAGGAGGGAGTCTGTCCAAGCCCCTGTGGCCTTTGGAAAACATGCTCTAGCACAACTCCAACCAGGCCCCATTCCACTCAAGAGCTGCCCCCAGGCTGGTGAGGGAGGAGGGCCACCGCTGGTTACTCCCCTACCTGGGCATCCTCCTGTGAGAACTGGGCAATCTGCTTCTGGTTTTCTGCCATGTCTGTGCCCAGGAGAAGGGACCTGGGCAGCCTGCTCCCTGTGCCTTCTTCCAGCATGGGGGTGAAGGAGTAGGGGTTTCGGAGATGAATCCTCAGCCCATGTTTCTGCAGAACATGGATAGCACAGCAATATTTAAGGGATTGGTGGCCTCTGCCCTGACCCTTTTCGGATTGTGTTTGTGCCCATTTAGGTGCCTGCACACAGGTTCCCAGGGCATGTGGTCCTGGTTCCTACTTTTTAATATAAGTGTATAAAAATCCCTCTTGCCCAGGCCCCCTATGGTGGACCACAGCACTGCCTGCCACATGATGCCACCCCATGCCATGCTGCATCACACTATGTCACCCCATAACAGGGCACACGTACTAGACTACCCATTGTACACCGCACCACACCAGGCCACACACCTTGGTACCCTGAGCCAGGGACTGTCCTAGGGTCTACAGTGATCACCTCACAACAACTCGGTATCATCCTCACCGTGCAAATGCAACAGGGGACTCAAAGAAGTGAATCAACTTGTCCAGGTTCACAATGGGAAGCAGATATGGGTTTCAAAACCACATCTTTGTGACTCCAAAGCCCTGGCTCTCAGCACTAGTCTCCAACTGCCCCCACTTCAGAAATAAATAATTAAAACTTAGAAAGACACAATAAGGCAATGGTTATGTGAAATCCATACTTACAAGGTAGATAAATTATTCACATAAAAAATTTTATTTACTTTGCAGACTCATTTACTTCAGGGTCACTTTATATGGAAGTTCCCTTGATGCATTTAAAATATGATTTGATTTTCAAATATTGGACTAGGACACAGAAATTTCCTAGAGCACATCCACATCTTCAAAGGAGGAACAGACAAAACAAGAGGAGCCTGTGTTTCCCCCCAAATAAGATTTACTGCTCTCACTAGAGACTTCTTTGTTCTTAAACCACCTTATTAAGATATGATTGACATGCAAAAAGCTGTACCTATTTCATGTAGGCACCTTGATGAATTTGGCCTCTGGAGATGTCCTTCCCCAGATCCCTGGCCCACCCCCTCACCAGTCTGAGAACCCTGCTCACACGCCGCCTGAGAGCAAGGCCTCCCTGACCACCCCAGCACTCCTTGCCCTCACCTGCTTTATTTTTCTCAGAAGCACGTTTCACCACCTAGCTAATTACATTCTTAGATTCCCACAATCCTCCCAGGTAGAATGTAAGCTCTGTGAGCTCCAGGCCATGGTCTCTTTCGCTCAGGGCTATATTCCCAGCATGTACACACAGCGCAGCCGGTACCTACTCTGTCCACTGAATAAATGAGGGTTGTGTTGCAGACAAGGTACAACTTCAGAGGACAGATGCAAGATCTGTGAGTGGAAGTTTTAGGAAAGCATGAGGAAACCAAAACAGATCTTTCCAACAATTACAGCTGAAGTTTCCCCAAACCAGAGACACTCCAGATGGCAGGATTGCCTCAGGTTGAGCTTTCTACTGAGGTGAATGCAAACACCGCTAGGCATAGGATTAGCCCACAAACTAACCAGCACAATAGCCTTAGGAGGTCGGCACTCTCACCACCCCCATCTTACGGATGAGGAAGATGAGGCAGCACAAGGCTAAGGCTTTCAGCTGATGAACTCTAAACTGGCCAGAGTCTGCAATCTCAACCCCATGCTGGGTCCACCCTGGCCAGAGCTGCAGGTAGAGCTCCTGCAGCGGCAGGCATAGCCCAAGAACAGGGAGGAGTCAGTTAGACCCAGTTCAGATTCTCTGTCATTTCCATGGTAAGAACTTAATCTCCCTGAACCTCAGTTCTTTCATCACAAAATGCAGACACTAACAGTTCTTGTCTCACAGGTGAAGATCAGTTAATAGAGCATTAAAGCTTACAGCCCAATATGTGACACGGGTGAAATAAATGGTCCTTATTGTTTGGGAATAGACTATTCTTAGAAAGACTTTAGTTGCCCTCTTAGAGATCCCCTCCAGGTTGTCAATGTCCTGTTAAAATAAGGTGCTCAAATTCCAGCTGAGGGTAGTCTGTGCATCATGTAGCAAGACTGTCTGCTCCCTTGATTTGAGTACCATATACCTATTAATGAAGCCCAAGGTCAGAGGTCAAATTATATACTCAATTCACTTGGGAGTGTCTAGTTAAATGGACCTTATGACAATTCCATTTTCAAATCAGTAACTTTTTTTGTAAAGAGAATAATCTTTTGAAAGTTTCTACTCTGTGATCCTGAATTTTCATAAGTTAGATTTTTTCAAAAGGAAGGTCTACCCACACATCTCCACCCCTGCACCTGCCATATATATAATGGGTGCATTTGCAAATTGCCTTCAGCTATGGTCTGGTATGGACTGAGGATCACAGACCTATTCAAAGCCTTGGCCAGATTTCACCCAGTCCTGGCTGGTACAAATGCTCTCTCTCTCTCTCTCTCTCTCCCTACCCTGCTCTCTCTCAGGGCCTCAAAGAATAATTCCTTTAATGGGCAAAAGTGGCTGAAAGTCCTGTTAATTTCCAGCTTTCCACTTAGAGCAAAGTTGGGGCTAAAGTGCATGCAGCTTCTTGTACAGATGGCATAGATGACCCTCTCCCTGAGTGGTGGGTGACAGAGGCACCAAACAGGTAGAAGCCAAATGGGCTCCAGGAACATGGTGACTGAGTTAACAAAGAGGCGGTGAGGTGTGAAAGGAACCTGAAAGGGTCGGGGCAGAGCTGGGCGAGCCTGCAGATCAATGTTCAGCTGACTAAGAGGACCAAGTCAGGGCGGCCTGGGAGCTCTCAAGACCCATCAAGGCAGCACAGGGCTCAGAAGAGGTGAAAGTCCCTGGGGTTCAACTTCCTGCTCAGGCCACCAAGAATGGTATCAGGAGCTAAAGCTTAATGAGGACAGAAATTGGGCTCCCATCCTGAGGCAGTTTTGCCAGGTAGATCCTGGGAAGTGACGTGGCAGAGCAGAGCTGGGGACCCTGGCCCCAGCTAAGACACCAGCCAGTGCTGTGTGTGAGAACACGGCCTGTTGTTGACAAGGCTTATTCTTTAGAAGAGGTCTGATTTTTATGTGAAGTTTCCTGATTTTTAAGACACTGAGTGCTAGGCAAATCCATCCGTGGGAATGCGCCAAGGAGGCCGTGCAGGGCAGACGGCCCTCAGACGGAAAAGAGACCTCAGGGACCAGGAATTACCGTGGGCACAGGACAGAGGGCTGTTGCCCCTGCTTGGGAAGATGGAACTAAGCCCCACTCGCTTCAGGTCACGGGGACTCTACCTTCAGCTCCAGATCGGTGTAAATCTGCGGCCGCAGCAGGCTGAGGAGGTAGGACGCGCGGGAGAACTTGAACCCTGCAACAGAATCAGATGAAGATAGTCACCAGCATCACCAGTGGTTGCCCCTGCCACCCCCGGCCCCCACCTCTCAGGGCTCACCTGGGGTGATCTCCTCCGTGACAGCCGCACCCCCGATCACATGGCGTCTCTCGAAGACTGCTGTGTTCACCCCCAGTCTCTGCAGGTATGCCGCCTGGGGGCACACAGGGCCGCCCCCCACCTCATTCCTGTTGGCTTAAGCTCTTCCCATCTCTGGGAATGCCATTCCTTTTGCTTCCTCCATAAATTCCTACTTAGATATCTTCTAAGATGCCTCATGACTGCTACTGTCTCTACTTTCCAGCTGAAGGTGATTTTCCCTCCCACAAGGCCCAGGTGCCTCTGTAAATTCATACTGCTCCCTGCCTGCCCAGGCCTGCCCGGGATGCGGACCTCCTCTGGGTGGGGGGCAAGCCTCCTCCCCCCTCACCAGCCCCGAGAGGCAGCACAGGAGCCCACCTCGTGACTGCCGAGCCAGGCCGCTCGGGTTCCACTCCTCTCTCTCTCTCCCTCTGCTGGGCGGCCTCAGTACCCATTGCATCTAGCTTCATTCCTTCATGGGCAGCATGTTCCACCCGCTGGGGCTCATGATCATTATGCCCATTTGCCTGCTTCACAGGGCTGCTGTGAGAGTTCCCCGAGCTGGTCCCTCAAAGGGGTTCACCCCAGTCCCTGGCACATGGATGTGGTCAATAAGTGAGGCTGTGATCAGAGCACAGCTTCATTTGGGGGAACAAATGCAACTAGGGTCTTTGTTAGTCTTTCTCTAGTACTTGGTGGGAAATCAATAAATATTTGTTGAATCAAACTAGTCCTGAGTCTACAGTCCTAAAATACTGGTGCTACCATCACTGTAGCAGGGACAGTGTAGGTCAGAAGTCAGATTTTTTTAAAGTTCACTTGCCGACTCCTCCATGCCCAGCACTGAGTGAATCACCTCATTCAATCCACCCCAGCACCCCACAGGTAGGCACTGGGATTCTCCTCACTTCATGGCTGAGGAAACTGAGGCTCCATGAGGTTACTAGCTCACACCAGGCTCATTGAGCTGAAGAGCAGAGAACCCAGACTGTCTGGAGCTCTGACACACCCTAGTGAGAAGGAAAGAGGAGCCTGACGTTCGGATGCTGGCTGGGCCCTGGGAGGTGAGCTGTGTGACTCTCTGGCTCCACATAAGGGGGCCCGCACAGCAACCTCATACGGGCAGTCCGCGGCCTTCAGGAAATGAGACGGATCAAGCTCACTTCACAATTTTGTCTGAGCACAAAAGCAGGTCTCTGGGCAGCCCACAGAAGGCCGATGGCCCTTCTCTCCACCCAAAGGAGGGGCGGCTCCTTCAGCACCTGCTAGTCCTTGTGCTAGTCCCCTCCCTGCAGGTGAGATTGATGGCGATGCCTCCCAGGGCTGTTCCCGTGCCCCGCCAGCATTCCATCGAGCCCAAACCCCTAGTTCCTTACCCTCCCCCAGAGCACCCACCCAGAGCCCAATCCTAGGCTAGGCGCTCCCTAAAACCCTCTGGCTGAGGCCACACGGTTCCCAGGGCGTGCGCTCTCCCCGGGTCCCCACCGCTCCATTAGGGTTGGGGTGTGCCTGGGTGTGCCTGGGGCTTTGGCTGATGGGCAGTGACACCAGCCTCTTTCAGGCCGGGAACCTCCAATAATAAGTCGCCATTTGCGAGAGGCAGGCCGCTGAAGCACAGCGTCTGTTTGCTTCACAACAGTTCTGGGAAGGTGGGCTCGCTGCCTCTTTGCATCTTCTCCGTGGCTCAGGCCACTTTCACCTTCCCAGACAGAAAATAGCAGAGCTGGTTGATGAACTCAGTTTATGTTAATATAAAATCAATGTTTTAAATTACTGATCAGCTGAATTACATAATGACTCCTGTAAAATGTTCAAGTAAAACTGGTTATGTTGGGGAAGGAATTAAGATTTAACACAAGTCTCGCAGCTCTACACTCCCCCACAGCTAAGTCCCTCTGTACTGATTCTCTGGAGCTGCTACTGCTCCAGGAAGATGGTCTGTGTTAGTCTTGTGGCCTGAACACCCTCTAGCACACCAATGCCCCACAGAGGTACACGGACTCAGGTCGGGGAGGCACGGCCTTAGGGTAACCCTGGCCCAGCTTAGCTTGGGGCCTAGAAGCCAGCTGTGTTAGCCTCTGCTGGACTGGCTTCCTGCCTCAGGACCACGTAGCTGCTGGCTACTCCGGTGGGCACATGGCCTAGACCTAGCTGGGGAGCACAGGGCTCTGGACACAAGGATGCCCATCATCTGGAGTCAGAGGGCCCCGCCCAGCCCCAGGGACCCGATCCCCAGGCTCCAGCATGTCTCCCAGGCTACACCAGCTGTACACTTCCCCACCTTTGCATCATCTCATTTCTGAAAGCTCCCTGACTCTCAAGGTCATGGGGAAACCCACATGCATTGAGGAGAGGAGAGGAGAGGGAGCCCGGGTATCCTCCTTGACTGCTGCAGGGCCCCTTTGACTCCCCACTGGTCGGCACCAGGGAGAGGAGACTAGCCTGCCTTCCTTCTCTCCCAGGGACCTCATCCTGTGGCTTCCTTATACTCCTGCCGAGAGCCACACACCACGGGGGCCAGTGAAGTGGGCAGAGCAGAGGTACTCACAGCCACCAGCCCGTTGTGTCCTGCAATGAGACGGGGAAAGGGGAGGAAGGCAGCAGTGACCAGCAGGCAGACAGACACATTCCTTGAGGGGTGTAGTCACCCATTCCTGTCCCCATGCCCAGGAAGATCCTGGAGAGGTAGCAGAAACTGGGGGGACACCCCCCCAACCTGTACCTGGATGTTGGAGCAGCATCTAGCTTGATGCCATAAGACATCCTGTCTGTGGGGAGTCAGAAAACCCTGGTTCTTGCCCTGACTTAAAAGAAGTCCGGTGTCACCCTGGCTTGGCCAGTGGCTCCCTGCTGAGGAGGGGCAAGGAGAGATTCAGTCCTCAGATGACAGCGACTCCATGAGGCCTCGGTCTGCTGGGCTTCGTTCACTCACAATAGTGCCCCAGGAGGCTTTCGGCACATAGGTTTGTCTTTGTCGCCTGTGCTCCCAATAATATAAAGGCTCCCAAGATAAAGAGGAAGCGTTCAAAACGAAGTGATTAAGCACAGCTTTGAAGTGTGTTCGAATAAGTAGGTGTGCTTCACGGATGCCCGCTGACTGAGCAAAGTTCTCTCTCCTATAAAGTTTCTTTCTGAGAATTTTAGGAGGGCTGCCCTGGGTTAGGAGCCCTGAACTTGGCTTGGGATCCCATGTTCCACATCAGCTTTGAGAAGCTTCAGGGTCACCTGAGAACTCATGTAAATGCCGATTCCCAGCCCCCTCCCCAGAGCCTCCCAGCAGACTGGGGGGCAGGGAGCTGGAACGATTTCTCCCAAGTGCCCAGGTCAGTCGGATGCAGGTGGTTTCAGACCCGCTGGCCCAGCACCCAGGCCCTTGGGCTGTGATTCCTCCTCTTCCCTTACTCTCAGGACAAAACGCAGCTGCTGATGGAGAATCCCTGTTGGGGAGAGAACAGGCGTGGCTGTTCTCGGGAGGGGGCACAGGCCTTGTCTGGAACACTTGGCGCATGTTTCTCCTCGGTGACAGAGGGTCACTCTGAATCTTTAAAGTTTCAATAGATGCCTATGTTCTCTGAGCACCAATCTGACCCCAGTGTTGACTCAAGTAAAATGCTCAACCATTAATTTGACAAACATCCATACATAGGAGGCAGCAATGACCCAGCTGAGGGATTTCTTCATGGCTGAGCTGATTTTGTTTTACATTTCCCACATAGAGGCTCCCATGATGCACAGGGAGACATTCATTTTACACTGTGACCTGGAGCCCGCCCCCCATAAGTGTATTTCACAGAAATGTTTCACGAACTCATATTAGCTCATCATATGATATGTATTTGATTGTATTTCAACATATTTGATTATAACATTTAATAATACATATGTAATATTTAATATATAGTCAATAATACTTGACTATTTCATTTTAAGAAATGATGGTTGATATGCTATTTTTACATACTTTTGAAAATTTTCTTGAGAAAGTTTCAAAAATATGCTGGATGTAACTTGTGAACAGATTGCAACCTGCAGTTTGAAAAGCCATGCTCCCAAATACGTACAACAAATTAAAGGCAGACTGTCCTGGGTTCGTCCTGGCTTCTGCTATTTACTGGGACATGGCCCTCAGAGAGTCATTTTAGCCTGTCATGAGCTTCAGGCTTCTGCATATGTAAAACAGCGAGAATGCTGGACCTTGCAGTGTTGGAGAAGAGTTACCAATATATGTAAAGTATCTGACCCTTAGCAGACCCTCAATAAATGATAGCTATTTGTCTTTAAATTAGTGATGATCATAAATCTTGGAAAACCAATAAAGGCTTCCTGGCAACTGGATCCAGTTCAATAATCACACATAAGCCCACAAATGCACAGACTTCAAATGACAAAGGTCAAGGTTCCAACAGCCCAGGACCCTCCTCCCTCCCGCCCCCTGCCACCCCCCCCTCCTGACTGAGCCCTCCTGTGGCTTCTGGTGATCTCCCCTTTGCCCTTCACTGGGTCTTAAGCTGCATGCCCAGCTAATCTCCGGGCCTGACTCCAGGAATCTGTAAGCAGGCACTCAGGGCTCTTCAGAGAAGCTGCTCTGACCTCAGGTTCTCAAATGTGTGGACAGTAGCCACCTGCATCAGACCCAGAGAATTGGTTAGATGTACTGACTTCCTCAGAGTCCTAATCCCAAGTACAGGAACTGCATTTTAACAAGCTCCTTGGGTTATTCTTAGGCATAGTTAAATGACTACATCAGGATCATCTTAAGGTGGCTCTGGTACCGGTGTGACTTCAGGGAGCAGAGATAATCCTTATCTCAGAAGTTGCCCCACAGTTCCTTGCTCAGGCCCTAAAGGCCTTTAAATCAGGCTTCCTGTTAAGCTTAGCAATTAAAGAAAGAGTATCAAGGAAAAAACACACCTGAGAATAGCATATTTGTGAGCTATTGGCTCAGGCATCTGGTGACCTAGTTCACCGTCCTGCCAGGAGACCGCAAGGATGGGCTGTCACAAAGGGCAGCAAAAAGGTGGAGGGGAGTGAGTCCATTCCCTGAGCCCATCAGGTGAGGCTGGAGTTGGCTTTCTTGAGCCCAGGAAGTTTGTAGGATGGTTGTCAAACTCAGCCGTTGTTAAAAATTAAATTACAGAAATTTACAATGAAATACATTATATTAAAAACAAAGGTAATGAATACTCAGAACTTGTCACTTCCTAATATCTTACTATTATCTATGGTATTGTGGTTATTTATCTCTCTGTGTCCATATAAGCAGCCATACTATACAACAGTGTACTGCTCATCTCTCCCCCAAGTTCACATTCATCGACATGCTGGTAACTTGGAAAATGTGGGAGTTGTACACCATGGACATCAGCAAACGTTACTCATCAGGGGCTTGATTTAATATTTGTGGATTATTAAACTTAAGAAAGTGATGGAGAAAATAATGCAGATTACACCTAACAGTGTGTTGTGTCATGCATAGCACGAAACATTGAAAAAATATTTTTCCAGTATTCAAAAAATTTTATCTGGTTGAGCAAAGTCATTCCCAGCATTGAAGAAGTGAAGTTTGGACACAAAATCGTGTTGCTTCTCTTATTTCACTTCTGATCTACTCTTTGAATGAAAATATCAAACAACATTCCTTTCTGAGCTACCCTCACATCAACTGCAACCAAAGGTTTACTGCTGAGTTTGGCAAAAACCACAGAAATTTGGTGAGATTCAGTTGGCTACCTGGAATTTAGAGTATTGTGTATTTATTTGTAAAATTGTGCACTACACTTTTTATTTCAGTATTTATAATAAACTTACATACATATATATGTGAACATTTTCCCCTGGAGAGGCCGTTAAATGCTTACTGGCACACAGCTGCTCTGAGTATGTGCAAACTGAAGAACGCCAGAGTAGAATTTCATGATGAACATCTTTTTGCAGCCCTGTTATTGTCTCTCTGCGTAAACGCAGCTGCAGATAGGTCACACCGAAATTGTGGGCCTTTCATGAGTGTGAATCCAAGGCTGTGGGAGAGGCAACATGGGCCTGGCAGCACTGTCTGACCTGATCACCCAGTAGAAGGGGCTTTGCAGCCTTGGGGGTCAGAGTGCAGCAGGCCCGCGGTGGCGTTAGAGCCCCGGATGGGCGAGGCAATGGTGGGCAGTCAGCCTCTGCGCATGTGCACTAGGATCTCCGCCACCCACTTCTATTTTTTCCTTAGTGGGGATGTGGTGGTGGCCAGATGTCATGGGGCTGCTAGATGTCATGGGTCTGTTGTCCCGGGGTTCTTTATTTTCAACCTGTATGCACCATGCTTTCTTAGACTGTGGTGGCAACTCACAAATTGTATGGGAGACACATGAAAACCCCTGAGCTCACCTGGCCCTCCTCAGTCATTCTAGAAGAGAAGACCCAAGCCCAGAGAGGGCAAGAACCTGCCACAGATCACACAGCAAGTCCATAGCAGAGCCAGTCCCAGGACCCAGGTGCCTGCTCACAAACCAGGGGGCTTTCCACCCCAGCCTCTGACTCTGACTCCTGGCCAGCTTGTGCTCAGGTAAGAGGGAGGGGTGGGTCTGGAGAAGGGCCCCCCTCACCTTTCAGCTCTAGCTCAGCCCGCTTTACCTGCTCCTATCACCACTGCATCGTACGCGGGCTTCAGGCGTCCCCTGGCTTCCCAGTGTGCTCGCCTCCACGCAGGGAAGGGAAGGGCTCCCATGGCCCTGCTGAGACCTCGGCCACTTGCAACCATTTCTGCTCTGTACTAGGTCAGGATTTGCTTGCAATCAGCTTTTTGTGCTGACCCAGGCAGGGGGAGGAGCAGGGAGAAAGCAGGAAGTGGAGGAGGAGCTGCAGGTCAGCTGCAGTACTTGGCCCTGGGCCACGACTAAACAAAGGCCACAGAGCTGCCTGCCAGGGAGTCCACACAGGGCAGTGTGGAGTGTGCCCTGTTCACTGGGCACAGGCCGTGCTGCCTCCAGGCCTCAGTAATCACCGTGCTGTAATTCTCCAGGGCTCCCACTTGCCAGGTGCCTGTTAACCACAGCCATGCAGCCTCTCCTGGAAGCCCCAGAACTCCCATTTTACAGGAGGGCATGGAGGCTGGGAAGGGGATGTGGGCTTGAGTGTGTGGGCTGGGGGAGATCTGCCCCTCTGTGCTGTCCTGCTTCTCATTGAGAAGATGAAGGTTGGGGGTAGGGAGGGGGGCATCCTGAGTAGGAGAGATTCGGGTAAGACTGGCATTCCAACTTCCCGTCCCTCCAGCCCACAGGGTGGTGAGCAGCTCTATGCCCACAGCAGGCTCAGGAAGTCCACCTGCCAAAGCAAGCGCCCAGCATCGCTGAGACGGGCCTCAGCAAAACCACAGGGAGGGCCGTGCATCCTCTCCTAGATGCTCACACACCTGACCTAACTGCTGTGGCAGGTGGGCCTCAGGGCCAGTTCCATCTCTAATTCCTGGGGCTTGCCCTTTTCTTCTGAAGGTCTGGACATTCTGTCTGTTGGCACCTTTCCCATTTTCCAAGAATCCTCAAGAGTAGAGATCACATCTGTAAATATCTTCAGCTCAAGCACTTTCTTGCTACCCTCTTGGCCTGTCTTCACTTAGGAGCTCCTTTGTTCTCTGCCCATTAGCCTGCAGGCCGTTCCCCTTGTAAACATCTTAAACCGGGAGAAGTTGCTTCTGAGTAAGAGGGCTTTTTGGGACCCTTCTGCTCTGGCCACAGACACCCCTTCACACACCAGAGGTTCACACTGTGTGCAGATCTCTGCTAAAATCCGACTCAGGATATTCACCCCATGTCATTATTTCAAAAAAATTAGGGGGATTAGTTATACTAGACAGATCACATCATACAGCTGCTAAAAATTAAGGGCAAGTATCAGGTGATAAAAGTAGGTCCTACACAGTGGGCTTTTAGTTTTTCCTGTTTGTGTTCTTGAACTATATTTTCCACAATCCATTTCTGTCAGTGAAGTCATGATATTGAGAAAGGCAGTCCTGGTCACCCCAGACAACTCTGTCCCTCACTGCCACCTTAGCCTGATGTGTGGTTCCAGCTCCTTCAGTACCTCTGTCCCCTGTACTGTTCCTTTAGTGGGAAAGAACAGTCTTTGCATGAACTTCAGCTCAGGACTGAAGTCACAGAGGCCAGGCTGCCGTCTGTGTGTCACAGGCGCTGAGCTGGGGGCTTCCTGCCGCACGGCTCTCTCCGTCCCAGCAGTGGGCACTCCCCAGTCCTGGGGCTCTGCTAGTCTTTGTCCTTGTGTCTGCTCTGGGATGGGAGCTTCTAGTGTAGAGGGGGCCATACCCCTTGGGCAGTGGTTCTCAATCCTGGGCACACTAGGATTGCCTGGGAAGCTTTTAAAAACCTCAAAACTTGGGATCCATGGGACCGAACGACCTGCATCTCTGAGGCCGGGCGGGGGCAGGAGTTGGGAACAGAGCAGGGCACGAAGGGGCCAGGACTTTGCCAGTTTGTTGGCACCAAAGGGAGGCCCAGGAGTCTAGATATGTTTGGCTTGAACGACAACCACAATCAGCATTTATTGAGTACCTACTGCATGTCTGGCAGCCCTCACAGCCACTAAATGTGGGCGAACAGGCTGAGTTTAGGAATCTTGCCCAGCACCACAAAGAGGCAGCGGCAGAGCTGGAATTCCAACCCAGCCACTGGAGCCCCTTTCCTCTGGGGAGGGAAATGGTTTCCTGAGGGAGCTACTTCCTCTCTGGAGACCCACAGGCAGGAGGGTGCCTTCAGACACCCGCAGGCACTGGGACTTCCATCTCCCAGGGATAAATGGAGAGGCCGCTCTGATAAAGGGGCTGCCCCAGCTCTAACCTCGCAGCCACTGCTGTTTGAGAGACCAGAGGAACCCCCTGACCCCTCCTCCAGAGAGGATTAGGGGTTTGCTGGTTACCAGTGTGGAAGCTGGTCTAGCGGGTTTCTTTGTGAAACCCTGGGGCTCCCCTGGGGACAGCCCCCTCCTCAGGTGGCTGCTGTGGATGGGAGGAGGCTCTCACAGGGGGAAGTATGCAAGCAGGGGGGCAAGTGGAGAGCCAGGGTGCACATGCAGCCTGCACCTGGGCTGTCTGCCCTGGCCTAGAGCAGGGGCACGTGCGAGGCCTCCCACAGGCGCTGGGCCAGCTCGCTGGCCTGCCGCACGAGAACGTCTGTGGGGATGACTGACAGGTGGAGAGTGAGCAGCTCATGGCAGCTGACAGCCTCAGAGGGGTGGCTTCTGCTGTAGTAGCGCAGGAGCTTCCTGGGGGAGGAGGAGGGGGGACAGGATTCAGGAGCAAGGCTATGGCACTCCTCTCCCTGTCAGCTCACTAGGCCCCCGCACCCGGGCCAGTGATGCCTTCCCTGCTCCCTGTGACTAACCCAGGAGGCTCAGCCCCAGGCCACCGTGGCGTCCTAGCTAAAGGATGCCACAGAGCCAGCAGGGAAGTTCTGAGCCCCAGCGCAGATGTCTACAAAGGCTGCCAACTGAAAGATGGGCAGAACTCCGACGGTGACCCCCACTCGCTTCCTCTCTCACTGCATGCTGGGCTGGGTTGTGAGGAGCTTCCAAGGAGGGTGTCTAGCTCCTTGGGGGCCATTCCTGAAGGAGCCACTGCTCCCCACAGTGGCCAGCACTCACCACCCCCACCTGTCACCCACTGCTCCCAGCAGCCTCCGAGTCCCAAGGGGTCACCTGTAGTAGTCTCCTCCCAGCACGCCAACAGGAGCTGAGTCATCAGAAAGGACAGGAGCCTCGATTATCTGGAGTTTGTGCCCCTGAGGAAGGAGGAAGGTCTTGAACAGGAGGTACTGGGTGTGGCAGAAACAGCACAGGTTTGGTTCAAGGCCTGCCTCGGCCCTGCGTGTGTGTGGAGCTTAGGAAAACAAGAGGACCTTTTCACCTTGTTTTCTCATCTGTTAAGTGGGAATAACAATAATCCCCCAAAGAACATGACAGAAATGGATATACAGATCTGAGCATCCCGTGGTGGCTCTGTTCCCATTGATGAGTGGCCCTGGGGCAGCGACCAGCACGTGTTCAGGGAGGCTGCTGGGGGGGCAACCCCGGGAAGTGTTGTGCATGGTCTTGAAGGGCAAAACGTTATCACGAGGCCCAAGCCTCTGCTTTGAAAGCAAGGGGGATTTCCCAGGGTAGGATAAGAAAAGGGAAGAATGAAGATCCGTCGGGCACCCCGTGTGTGTCAGGCGGGTTGTGGGTCCTCTGCCGCTCACTGTGGGGCCTGTCCTGCCGGCGAGGGGGTGGACTCAGCAGTGTTAAGTGGCCGCCCCCAACAGCACAGTTACATCCAGCTTCATGCCTGGGTCTCCCCACCAACAGCTCCACTTTACTTATATTCTGCTGGGCCAACCAAGCACATGGAGCTGTCTCTCCTCCAAAGCTAAGGTAATGGTTGCATCCTGGGCACCTCTAAGGAGGACATGGAGCAGAGAGGGGAGCCTGCAGGCCAGCAGGGCTGAGCCTGGGTTCTGGCCTCCTCACTTAGGACCTCGGTGGCCCTGGTCACAGTGTTTCATCCCCAGGCATCAGTGTCTCCATCTGTAAAATGGGGCCAAGCTTCTGCCCCAACCATCACACGTGAGGCTGTGAGAACAGTGCTGAGAGACCCCAGGGATCGCACCGCCCTGTGGAGGGAGGGGCCCTGGCCCTCAGGGGAACATGAAGGGGGGCTCGCTGCCCAGAGCGGGGAGAGGAAGGAGGACGGGGGACCACGGGCATATGAGGAGCAGAAGGGTGACCCTGAGAGGGCCGGCATGACAACTAAGGGAGATGGTGAGGAGAAAACCGAGACAGAAACAGGACAGGTCAGAACAGAGAACGCAGGCACATGCACGCGGGTGAGGAGACCACAGACTGCCGAGGCCGTGCCCACGCTGTCCTGACGGCGAGGTCTGCAGATAGGCCCACAGGGCTAGGAGGCAGCAGGGCGGGGCCCCACCCTGGCTGCACCCCGGGTGGGTTGACTGCCCGGAACCTGGGTTTATCCACCTCCACAGTGGGGATGACGGTGTCCGCCTCCCAAGCGCAGCTGACAATGAGAAGCACACACAGACTCTCACTCGGGGCACGTGTCCATCTGTTCATGTTACCTGGATGCCGTAGCTTTCGGACAGCAGGGAGGAGGGGTCACAAAGCCTGTGTGAAAATGGGCCCTCGGAGTTCTGGGTGGCCAGCTGTGCTTACCTGTCACCTCCACCAGGGACGAGAAGAGATGCAGAGACAGACTGAACGCAATCCAGAAGAAAGGAGTCCAAGAGTTACAGGAAAGGAAAGCATTTCCGGACTGTCCTGCCCCAGGACCTGGTGACACCCACCATCTCGTTCTCGAACCACAGGAAGTAGGAGCAGGAGAAGTCTCCCTCCCGGAACAGCAGCGTGGTGTAGCCCTTCTGCAGGTATCTGCGCGCCAGTCGGACCTGAGACCAGACCTGGGGAAAGGGGAGAGGCCTCACTGCCGCCCTGCTGCCCAGGCCTCAGCCCCTTTGCCAAGGCAGGGAGGAGAGACTCAGAGGAGGGGCTCCTGGAGGGCAGGGCCTCTCTGCCTCATCTTCTCCCTTGGCGCCAGCATGGCCTTGGCTCGGCGGGAATTCAAGAGTGAATTGTTATTGGGTGAATGGGTGATCGCCTCTGCACAGTTCCTGTGATGATAAGGCACATGTAGAACAGTGTGTATCCTTATTACACACACAAGCCAGAAATTAGTAAACTGACCACTCGGGCCAGAAAATAGCCAGGGACACTGTTTACTAACACAACAGGATGACGGTGGAAGCCCCTTCTGCTACCTAGGGTCACCTACTCACTGGCCCCCGGTGGTGCCCAGGACTTCTGGCGAGGGATTCTACGCCAAGGTGCTGGTGAGGCGTTTGAATGTGCAGAGAACCCAGAGCGGGGCACGCTCTCTGCCCCAGGGGTGAAGTTCCAGCTAGGGCTCACCACAGGGTCTGATGGGAACATAGGGGCTGGGGGACAATGTGCCTTAGGTCTCCTCAGGGATGTTCTGACCTAATTCAAGGACTCCCTGATGCTGCCTGTAAACAGCTGGAGGGAAGGAGCAGGGACAGCTCGGCTGCCCCTCCTCCCAGGGCTGGGAAAGGCCTGAGGAGCGCTCATCGAAAAGCTCAGTGGAAGGCATACACAATCCACTCCAAGCCTGACCACTGGGCAATGTCTAATTACATCTGTAAACAAACACATGGATATGTTGTATTTTTCAGGAAGGCAATTTGGCAACATGTATCAATAAGCTTAAAAACATTCCTCCCATTTAACTTACTAATTGCCTTTCTGGGAATCCATATTGAGGAAATGATCAGAGATGATGACAGAGATGTATGCACAAAGGTGGCACTGCAGAATTATTTATAACAGTGAAAGCCTGGAAACAATCTAAATGTTTCAACATTGAGGAAATGGCTAAGTAAATTATGTTACATTCACATGATGGACTATTGTGGAGCTGTTAAAAATCATGTTTATAAAAAATTAATGACATGAGGAAATGCATCACATATAATGTGAAATGAAAATGTGGTAAACACAATTGCATATACAGAATGATCTCAACTACAGCAAACGGTACAGAAAAACAATGAAAAGAAATGTACCAAGATAACCCCAACTATCTCTGGAAAGAGGGATGAAGATGAAGATGCTGGTGATGATGGTCTAGTTTAATAATTACAGATGAGGAAACAGAAACTCAGACTAAGGAAGACCCCAGGCCACGCGGCCAGTGAGAGGCAGAGCTGGGTCTCCACCACAGGCCTTCTGTTACCCCATCTAATTTTAAACATTAGGATATACTTTATCTGGACAAACATATATAGTGTGCACATTATATTTATGTATGTATATTTATAATATGCATACTAGATTATATAGTGTGTGTGAGTGTATATATATATATATATGTATAGTATATCATAAAATACATACAGTTGACCCTTGAACAACATGGTTTTGAACTGCTTGGGTCTGCTTCTACTATATGTGGATTTTTTTCAATAAAAATACTGGAAAATTTTTTTGGAGATTTGTGACAATTTGAAAAAACATTTTCTCTAGCTTACTTTAAGAATACAATATATAATACTGTACAAAATATGTGTTAATCTACTGTTACCAGTGAGGCTTAAAGTTTTTGGAGAGTCAAAAGATAGAAGCAAATTTTTTACTTGCAGGGGGCTGGTGCCCCTAACCCCTGCATTGTTCAAGGGTTAACTGTATACATATTAGCTTGCCATAAAGAGAGCAAAAAAAGCCCCAGAGAATGTTTCCTTGGTACAAACTACCTTGTTTTAAATTCTGATACCCTGATTGACTGAGCTTGTGTTACTTCTTTCCGGTTTAGTTAGTTCAACAAATTTCTTATTGGGATGTATTTATGCCTGCCAGGCGCAGTGTTAGGCACTGGCTATTTCCTCCTCTGCCTGCTGCCCAGACTCTGCTAACCCAGGCATATTAGACTATACATGGGTAGGTGCCCCCTGCCATCAACTGAGGCCCATGTGGCCCTGAGTGACAATGATGGGCATCCAGCTGGGCACAGATGGAGGCAGAGAATACAGCAAGGGTTCAGGCAGAGCATGGTCAGAACCTCACGGGAGCCGCAAAGGCCACGGTTAGTCCTCCCAGGCAGGGCTCAGGCCAGCACATCCCTCCGATGGGCAGTGAAGAGTGCCCGGGCCAAGCAGTGTTACCTTGGTTCTGACGAAGGTGGCCAGGGGCCCCTTGCCCAGCTCAGATGAAGTCTTTTTACTGTTGCTGAGGGAAGGGGCCACCATCTGGCCAGTCGTGCGGTCCACATAGATGAAGTGCACCAAGCCTGGGAAGTCTTCAAGGTAGGTGAAGGCTGGAGTTAAGGTGCTCATACAGCCAAGAATCTGGGGAGTGCTTCTCTGTCCTCTACCCAGCTTCCAGCTGGGCGAGCAGTGGAGTCAAGAGACCAGGCCAGTCCCGCCTGGCCTCCACCCCAGGGTTCTATTTCAGCCAACCCCCTATATCCCTGCTGCCTTGACCTCACTTTGCCTCTGAACCCCCAACCCTGAGAAGTTCTAAGAGGCAAGTAAAATGGATCCCTGACATCACATTTAACACATAAGTTCTGGACCTAACAGGAACATGGCACGTTCCTATTTTATCATTTTCATGAGCAATGAGTTTAAGTTGAACACACAGTAAGGCTGGTATAAGAGTAGAGCAATAGAGCTAATGACTGCCCAAGCTGCCTGCCTCACCTCCAGAGGTGGGGGAACCCCATCTGAGAGGGCACAGAAGGGCCTGGAAGGAGGGTGGCTGGTGGCTAGGAAGATCCTCTGTTATCCCTTTCACCTGCATACTGAAGACAGAAGTCTCAGCGACTGGAGGCCTGACATTTGGGAGATATCAACATAGGAAAAGCTGCTTTACAGAAAGTACCAGAGAAAATCTGTATTTGATAAAATTAATGTTCCATAATGAAAGGGTCAAATAATTCTTGGACATGGCTTTTCAAACAGAATAAACATACTTCCTGCAGGCCTTCTCAGAGCCTTCATGATCTGCTGTGTACGATGACCTCCAAGGAGGAGGACATGGCCTCTCAAACCTACTCCGCCCAGGACCCGCCCCTTGTGGAGCACCTGCCGCCACTCTGCCAGTGGGACAGCACCATCTCCACGGCTTCCATGCAGTGACTCTGGGAGAGCAGGGCTCTCTAACTCTAGCCTTAGAGCACTCCTAGAGAAAAGCACCCAAGACAGTGTCTCCTGTTATTTTTCTTCAGAGCAAAGCTGCTGAGATGGTGGCATATACAGCCCCACCCCCAACACCTGCAGTGCTGAGTGAGCAGGTGGAGGCGGCAGGCCGGCCCAGGACTCAGGCATCAGGATATGACACCATGGTGACGTTCCTCCGACTCTTCACCAACAAGAAGTCCTTCCAGTCTGCCAGCGTTTCTCTGCCGGGGAAGCAGGGGATGATGAGGTGTGCCCCTGCTCCCACGCCGGCTCTGGCAGCGGGGCCACACACACGCACACTTACTGCATGAACGTCCGGAGCTGATCCTGCAGGGACTGGGGCAGATGTGGGCCTCCACGGCCTGGAGCTGTGCTCAGGAAGCTAAGGCGGTAGATAGCGCAGAGCTGTCGCTTCACCTTCCCGCATGCCTGGAGCAGCCTGGGTGCCAGGACAGGAAAGTATCACAGCAGGAAGGGCCCTGGGAGAGTGGGTCATGCCAGTGCAGGTCACCCCTGCTCTGACAGACAACAGACATGGCTAGTAAAGCACATCTTTGCCCTCTGTGAGCTGGGAGGCAGCTTCCCGGTTTCCCCAGCATGGTGTTCCATGTAACTGGGATGAAGTGTGTGGGTCACATCCAACCTCATGGTTTACTTTACTGATAAATGAGGGGAAGTGACTTGCTTGAGGTCAGATCTGAGTCAGCTGACGCTGGGCTGGAACCCAGGCCTTTGCCCTGGTGCTGGGTCCTCACGCCCTGTTCCTCAACCTGCCCTCTCAGCTTCCCCTCCCTCCAGTGTCTGCAGGGCCTCACGGCTCCCCCAGGACCCCTGCAGCCTAAGCGCCTTCCTGAGCATCCTCCTCCTCTTGGCCTGCAAGAAGCAGCCTCTCTGCCCGAATGACCTCCCACCCTTTCTCAGAGCCTGCCACTCACTCCCAGGATGATCCCGGCTCACTCTTGGAGAAGGCCTTGGTCTTGAACTCCAGCCAGGTGCTCTGCAAGAGGACAGGTGACAGGTAAGCTTACTGACACTGCTCCCAGAGGAAGGTCCAGGGGAGAACCTTCCCAAGTTGGGCCCTGAGGGGACACCACGCCTCCTGACCAACAGCGTCAATATTTAGGCTCAGCACACATCTGCCCATGCCCAGCCACAGCTGGGTTTCTGGCAGGTCCCCAGCTCTCTGCACCCCACTGGACACTACATTCTACTCACTCAGCAGGCGTTTATCTAAAGAGTGCTTTCTGTGTGCCAAGTACTGGGCTCACCACCTAGCTGGCATGGACATGTAAACTGACACGGCTGGGGTGACAGCAGGTGCCACACAGGGGAGCTGGATGTGGGGCTGGGGTGCTGAGGAGCCCAGGGCCATCTCCTCAACGGGGAGCTTTGCATTCCGACACGATGCCCCGGCCCTGTGGGATGCTAGGCGGCCTCTGACTCCGGAGCAGGGACTCGGGTCTGTTTGGGTTTGGGCTTCCCTGCTTCTCCGCCTCCGCTAATCCTTCTGCTCGCTTTCAGACCAATGGGCACCACAGCACCAGGAATCTCGGCTCCTCAGACAGACCCAAGCACTGCCAGCTACAGGAGCTGCCACCCTGAACTTCCTTCTGGGCTCTAACTAGACTGCTCCTGTTTCCTACTGTTCACGCACTGCCCCTGCCCGCCAGGCTCTGAGCCCCTGGGACGGCAGTGGGCTGGGTCCTGCCCTTCAGTGTGAGCCACCACACTGTGCGGGCACCACAGGCGGCAACCAGCCTTTCTGGAGTCCCGGAGTCAGGCTCTAGCTCCATCGCTCACCAGCCGACCACCCTGGCAGAGGCGCCATCTATCTAGGCCCTGTTTCATCATCTAAAAATGGGAACTGTAATTTGTGTTCCCCCAAATCACATAGAAGTGTTTTGAAAATGTAATATGCCACTGTGAGTTTTTATTATTTCATGATGGGGGAAACAAGGATCCTAACCTCTGGTGGGGCAGGGGCAGGACCGGAGCCTTTGGGTCCTCACCTGGTGCGGGCCTGCCACCCCAGCCCAGCTCTGCCTCCCTGGGGTGGGCATCTCCGAGGTCCGGATCTCACCTGAATCTCTTGCCCCCGACGGTTCTTGACAAACTTGTCCATCCTCTGGCGCAGATCCCCCAGGAAGGGGTGGGATCGCAGGGAGCTCCCAGCCTCCTGCCCCTCCTTCAGCTTCTTCTCCAGCAGGGAAAACCCATCCAGCAGCTGGGACAGCACCAGGGCCAGGGGGCTGCTGGGGCCCTAAGGGAAGAAGTGCAGGGCAGGACCAAGAGCCTGTGGGGATGGTGTCCAGGCCAGGGCACTGCGGGGCAGGTGGGCGGGCTTGTACCTTGGTCAGGAGCACCATTTGGATGCCTGGCCACAGGGGCAGGCAGTACATGGTGTGGGGCACCATGCGGCAGTAGCTATCTTTCACTTTGGCATCCAGGAAAATCCTTCTGGGGCTGGAAGGTGCTGGGAAGCAAGGGATGAGCGTCTGGAGGGTGTCTTCAGCTATCTGTGGAGAAAAGCATCTGTTAGCAGGCGGGGGCGGGGTGAGGTGAGCCATCTGGCCTCCTGGCCACGTCAGACCCACCCACAGCTGTCCTCCCTGAGAACCATGGCGGGTAAACACTTTAGTGCCAACAAATCCCAGTTCTTAAATCCCCACAGTTCATTGCAACTGCCCTAGCAGCTCCAGTACTTGGCCTTCCCGTCGGCAGTCAGGACTGAACAGCAAGCAGGAATGGTGGGGAATAGGTGTAGGAGCTGGGATGGGTGGTAAAAAAGGGACTAAAAAGGCAGGAAAAACAGACAAGGGTGGAACAAGGGGTAGAAGCCCCCTCCCCATGTCCTCACTTGGATGATGGGATTCAAATAGCACTGTCATCCCACCCACCCTCAGAACATCCTGATAGCTGTTCCAATGGGGAAACTGAGGCATGGAATGACTAAATGAGTACAACTCCAGCCTTAGGGAGGATGCTGTGCAAGAAGACTTTAGTGGGAAATCACTGCATCTTATGTATAACAGCAAAACACTGGAAGAATGTACTGGTTGTTCTGCAGATCTGCTAAATAAATAACACATGCATGTGACACGTTCTTCAGCAGCTATTAAAAATCAGTGCCTAACAAGTGCAAAACTGCTCAAGGTAAAAGGTATAATGAAGTACACTGGATTCAAATATGGCAGAAGAAAAAAACTTAAGTAGTATGTGTATATACATACATATATGCATACATATGCATATGTGGGTGTGTATACATACATAAAATCATAGCAAAGGCTACAAGGAAACGACCAAAAATCTTAATAGTAGTTACTATCCGGGGGTGAGATTGAGAGTAGTTTTTATTTCTTTTCCAGACTTCTATATTTTCCAATTTCTCTATAATGAATATATTTACTTTCTCATTTAAAAAAATCATTGAAAATTAAGTTGGACTTTCATTCACAACAACAGTTGAGTAGGCTGGGGATTTCTTAGGAGTTGCATCACCCTTCACCTACTACCTCAGCCCCAGCCTCTGGGCTGAGCACTGTCCCCGCACTGAGGTGGCAGGAGGAGGGCCGGCACAAGGGGAGAACCACGCGCAGGGGGAGCCCCAGAGCCCCCAGAGAATCCCCTGTAGCGTCTCAGATCAGCTGGTGCCATGCAGGCCTCCCTGCCCCCAGGAGAAACTCACCTGGACCTGAGAAGCATCCACGGGTGGGGTGCCCCCATCCAGCCAGATGGTGCTATCTGCAGGCCATACGTAATAACATAACATAAATGACCTGAAAATGTGAATAATGGCCCACCCGCATCTCAGAGGGGAGGGTCCCACTCAATCAGCAGTTTACAGGAGGACGCAGGGGAAAGGGCACTTGGTGTGGACTGCCCTTCTGTCCCGGTCCCACGGGGGACTCTGCAGTGCCAGGGCTAAGGCAGCCCGGGCCTGGGGAAGAGACCCAGCTGCTGGGGAGAGCTCTTGAGGACGGGCTGCAAGGGTTGGGCAAGCTCCTCGGGCCCCTGAAGCCCCGCTCCTTTGTGCCCTCCACTCCTTCAGGCCTTCCCTGACTGTAACAGGGCCTCTTCACTAGGAGGCAGCACAATCTTCATTTCCCCACTCGTTTATTCAATCAGCAAACTTCTTCTGAGCACCTATGATAGGCTGGGAACTGAGCTTATTTAGTAAGTAGAGTTCACAAAAGCCTACTGAACCCACGATGTATTTGAAATACTGTATGCTTGTAATAATATTGCTCTCTCTTATATTTCATTGCAAATAACTATCATTTATAATCATGTTTCTTTTGGGGAAGCATGTTCCTATGTTTCAAACACCTGACTTACAAATGGATGAGGGTAGCTTGAACCACTGTTCATTCTGTGCACTGCAGCGTGGCCTTATTCACAGCTTTGAGGCCTAAGAGCCAATCACTGAGAAAGAGGCCTGGGGTGGGGGGCAGGTTGTGATAAGTGAAAGGAGGGAGCTGAAGAAGAAACACAAACATCAGCCATCAGCCCAAAGTGGTGCCTCTCAGCATCCTGTGAGCTCAGGGAAAGCTTAGGGGACCCAGGCCCAGAGAGACATGCAAGCTCACGAGCTGGTGAGTGATCACGGGTCCCAGGCTCCTTGCAGCCCATCCAAGGACTTAAGAGTTAAGGTGTTTCAACCATGGCTGCATAAGACCTTTTTAAACGGCTGATGCCCAGGTCTCACCCCAGACCAATCCAGTCAGAATCTCTGGCACAGGTCCAGCTTCAGTGTTTAAAGACTCCCAGAGCACTGCCAGCCAGGGCTGAGAACCACGGCTCTGACCTAAATCTGTGTGGGGCAGTGGTTCCCACTCTGATGCCCACTGGCCTCATGGTATAAGTTCTAGAAGTATTCTTACCTGAGCCCCAGCCCATGGACAGCAGCTCAACTGGTGCAGCTGAAGCTGCTCACATGATTCTAATGTTTAGGAAATTCCTTTTAAAACTCAGTCCCTGGGAAGTTTTCCTCCTGAAACCCTGGACTTCTTTCTTATATTAGATGATGCAAAGCGTCCAGTCCTTCCCTCTTCCCAAGAACTTTAGAGATAAATGTGATGCCCGTTCCTAGTGACTTCAACAGTCTGGATTTTGGCTTTTCTATTTCCCAAAGCAATGTTGTCTATTTTTTTGTTGTCAACAACATTCTGAGTATTTTTAGTTTCTTTTTATTATTTACACACATACTTTGGATAAACAAGGAAGTTGTAAACTATAGAGACTGAATATTTGTATTTTAAATCCTTGTACTTGAAGTCAAATGATTACTATTTAGTATTAATTACTTATTAATTTATTACAAAAAAGGGAAGGCAGAGAATATGTGTATGCAAGGTAAGTTTTTACATGGAGTCAACGTGCCACAGAAAGCTTTAGGAGCCATCTGAGTGGCTTATAGTCTTTTAAGCTGGAGCAGTAAGGGAGACAGAGGGGTGCTGCAGAGAGCACCCTGTGCTCTAGGAATCTGGATGTCTCCGCCTTTAGTTGTGGGGGTTCGCTGAACCCTCAGACAGACCCTCTGGGGCTGCCAACTCGCACCTGCCACAGCCCCAGGCCTCACCTGAACTCTGCTCCCCAGGGGAAGGAGCTGGTGTGAAGTACTCCTCAGGGAGGGAGAAGCTGTCAGTGTCCTGGGAGAGAGAAGAGGGTGTCTTGGACTGAGGGGTCGCAGAGGCACTCCCAGTGGGCTCAACCAAGGCCCCTTGTCTCCAGGAGGGCAGACCCCCACCCCCGCACACAGTGCCCAGCACGTACGGTCCCCATAGAACTCCCCCTGGCAGGGCCCGTGGACGAAGGGCTCTCGGCCTGCTGCACAGGGATATTTTGGCTGCTTCGGGGTCTCCTCGGAGTGGGCTGCAACAGGACAGGACACACAGGCTGGAGCAACTTTGATGGGTTCCTCCCCACCAGCCTCCCGTCCCCAGCCCCTCATAGCAGAGCCCTCAGAGGCAAAGGCCACGCAGGACCTCCAGGCCCCCGCACCTGCTCCACCTCGCAGCCCTGGTGTGTGTCCTCACTTTCCAGGGATGTTTGAATTCGAAGTGGTCTAATATTCTCCAGAATCACTAAAATTTCAGAAATCCCAGCACTGGCATCCAAACACCACTAACTCCACCACGGGTGATCACGAGGATGGCTAGCACTGGCACTCACTACCCAGACACTGCTGGGCTCTAAGTAAACTGTCTCCTTTACTCCTCAAAACAGCCGTGAGAGGTAGATGCCACTGTTGTCCCATTGCACAGATAGGGGAATAGAGGCTCAGATGGGGCAAGCTCGCATAGCTAAGTGATTAAGCTTAGATCCAACCACTGAGAAATAAGAGCCCCTGTGAACCCACTGAACCCCTCCTTAAGGTTTAGCCCCAAGTCCCTAAGTATATAGTATAAGTCCCTAAGTGCCTAAGATATCAGTATCTGAAAGTAACAGGAAAAAGTTATGCCCAACCACAGGCCCAAAACTGTGATTCAGAAACCAGGGCCTCCCCAGGCAGCCTGTCCAGCGTTCTCCAGGCTGGTTTACTGAGCCAGCTCCCTAAGGCCTCCCACTGCCCAGGGAGCTGCCCCAAGACCTGTGTGTCATCAGCATCCACTGTGCTCTCGCTGGGGTAGAGGTCCTGAGCCAGGAGAATGAGGGCGAGGAGGTCGGCCGGGCGCAGGGAGCTGGCGCTGGGGCTGAAGAGAGAACAGGCAACTGTGAGCATGTGCCCGATGCCTCTGGTGCCCCACAGGTGGCGATGGACAGGAGCAGGTGGGTTAAGAGAATCGGGAGCATGGCCCCCGCCCTCAAGGAGTTTACAAATGTGCCAGCTGAATTCATCCTTTTTAGAGAAAGGCAAAGTATAAATATAACTCATTAACTCATCAACAATTAAAACTTGGTTATGTTTAAAAAAATTACCAGTGGGAAACTACGGGGACCAGAAACAGCATCTGAGGAAGTCCTAAGTTCAGACTCTGAGACAGTGTTCCAGGAAGAAGAAACTCAGAGAAGGCAGTGAGCTGAGAGGGGCTGAAGAACTGAAGTACCTAAGAAGACTTCATGAAGAGATGGGTCTTGAAGGTTTTCTTGGCTGGGGAGGGGTGCTTTTAGGTAGAAGGAATATGAAGGGTGAGAGTCAGGGTCCAGGGGGCCTCCGGGGCCACAGGCTCACCTGGAGTAGAAAGCCAGCAGCTTGCCGTGCACAAGCAGGAAGGCGTGCAGGGCCTCCTCGCCGGCCCGCTCACGGCTGGAGTTGACAGCCTGGATGACATGCCGCTCTAGTGCCTCTATGCACAGCTCACAGAGCTGAGGGTGAATCAGCCGCTCCACAGCCTGGCCACAGGCAGGGAGAGAGGAAACCATGTCACTGACCCCTTTCCTGCTCCAGGCCCTGACTGGTGGGTATAATCACTCAGTCCACACTGAATGCAAACTGTGTGCCAGACACCTGCAGACAGGGAGATGCAGACCAGCACTATCCCTGCCTTCTGGGCACACAGTCTGATCAGTGGACTGTAGGGGATGAGACAGACAATATGCAAGGAAAACAAAGTAAGTGCCACTAAGTGTAATAAGTGTTGTATAGGAAATACACAGTATTAAATGAGAGAAAAATAGAGAACTACGTAGGGTTTTCAAAGTAAATGTCCCTGAGGAAGAGAGCTTTAAATTGATATCTAAAGAACAAGAAATCCTGTTGCAGAAAGAGGAGAATACTGCAAGCCAAGGAAAGAGCATATGCAAAGGCCCTGAGGCAGGGAGAGTTTGGAGCAGTGCTGTCCAACTGATATGTATGGCAAGACCTATGCATAATTTAAATTTTTCTAGCAACTACGTTAAAAAGGTAAAAATAAACAGGTGAAATTAATTTTAGTAATTTATTTTACCCAATAAATCTAAAATATTATCATTTCAACATATAATATAAAAACATTATTAATGGGATGTTTAATATTCTGTTTTTGTAACAAAACAAAACAGAAGGAACAAAATAGCCGTCTCACAGACTCTGAGAAGGGACTAGTGATTGCCAAAGGGAAGGGACTGGGAAGGGTGGGTGGGTAGGGAGGGAGAAGGGGATTAAGGGGCATTATAATTAGCCATCACAATAGAGGTAGGTCATGGGGAAGGCAGTACAGCACAGAGAAGACAAGTAATGACTCTGTAGCACCTTACTATGTTGATGGACAGTGACTGCAATGGGGTAGGGGAGAGACTTGATAATACGAGTGAATGTTGAAACCACAATGTTGCTCATGTGAAACCTTCATAAGATTGTATATCAATGATACTTAAATTAAAAAATTTTCAGTTTTTGTATGAAGGCATCAAATCCAGTGTATATTTTACATGTACAGCATAATTCAATTTGGACTAACTATATTTCAACTGTTCAGTAGCCATGTGTAGCTAATGACTATCATACTGGTAGAGTTAAACAGACAGCATTCCTAAAATGGGAAGAAGCCCAGGTGGCCAGCACATAGCAGGAGAGGACAAGAGAGGCATGGGATGAGGCTGGGTGAGACAGGCAGCGGCAGATCATACAGGGTCTGGTAGGCTTGGGGAGCAGTTTGGATTTCATCTTAGCTGCACTAGATGACGATCTATGAGAAGCCTTTCCCAATGCCTCAGAAAGAGCTGACCACACCATCTTTTGCGCCACCATGGATTTTGATCAGAAACCCAGTATGGTAGTTTCCAGGATGTTTCTTGTATTTTTTAGTATGTATGGCTGACTTCCCCTCAAGGATGAGGACTGTGTCTTTATTCATTTCTGTATTCCAAAGGCCTGACACACCTCTTAGCATACAGCAGGTACTATACATTCATTGGAAGAGTGAGTGAGTAGGACATGAAAAAGAATTTCTTCAGATCTATTTTCCAGTTCATTAATTCTCTTTCTACCTACTGCTCAACCCATCCCTTGAGATTTTTATTTTAACAATTATGTTTTCATTTCTAAAATATCTATATGGGTTCTTCTCTAACTTCTATGTCTATAAATATTTCATAGAATAGTGTCTATCCTATACCTAACAGTTCCAGTATATCAAGCTCTTTCAGATCTAAATCTGCTGGTGACTGAATCCCCTCATTCATACTGGCTTATTTTCATGTGTATCTGACCTTCGATTGTGAGCTCCTACTTGTTTGTGGTCTGGGCTTAACCTAGGAGTGTTGGGCTCTGCTGCACCACATTGCTGTTGGCCCAAGGCTTAGTTTTCTGCTTGTAGTGTTACTGCACTCAGGCAATCTTGCCTTCAGTGCTATTTAGTTTGCACTACTTTGCATCCTAAGTTTTAGCTCAATAAAGTTTTCTGGAGGGAAGGGTCTGAGGGAACCATCTTCAGAAATTTCCATAATTACTATAAGCCCAAAACTACATTAAAAAGCCTGTTTCATCCAGGATTTAGCTGTTTTATTATAGGGAGGTCCAACCGGCCATGTGGCCAGAAAGAACCACCCTGTACAGGCATGACTCTGCGGGTCTGTCTGTGCCCTCACGCCTCTGGCCATAAAGGATCCCCTTAGCAAGGAGGCCCACACCCAGTCGTCACCTCCACAGCAAAACACTGCTCCTGCTCCCGCAGGCGGCTGTAGGTCCACAGCAGGCTCTGGAAGTGTCCCCACACCTGGGCACGCTGCTCCAGGTCTGGAGGCCGCAGCCTGGGGCAGAGTGGGAGAGAACCATGAAAAAGCTGGCCGTCCCCGCCCTCAACCAAAGGAGCAGTGCCCTGGATCACCACCAGAGTCAGGCGAGCGTGTGATATGACCACATAACCAGGAGGGCCCATAAAGCACGACGGGCCATGCTCAGGCTGTGCCCCAGCAGTGCAGGTGAGTGGGATGGGCATGGAGCCGGAAGTCAGGTGCCTGAGCAAACTGCTTCACTTCTCAGTCTCTCCTATGCAGACATACGACACAAAGCCAGAGAGAGACCCAGGAAGGAGCAAGGGCTGAGTGCGGGCGGGCAGCCTCACAGAGGCTGGGCACATACTGCCTGGCTTCCAGAGGGTGCTTAGCAGAGGACCCGGTGGGGGCCAGCAGCAAGGACTCACTCCTTTCGGATGAGCTGGCTGTCCACAGTGACCAGCCCGAAGTGCACCTCGAACAGGAACTTGAGCGCACACAGCTTCTGCCGCAGGTCCGCCTCGCCCTCTGAGTGGTCCCCACCGATGGCGACAAACAGGCATTCTCCAAACTGTGGGCCCAGCAGGCTGATGTCAGCCGGCCCACAGGCTCCCCTTACTGCCCTGAGGATGGTGGTGGTGTGGGGGAGGATTTTGATAGGATGCAGTTTCTGCTTTTTAAAGGAATCTAAAGTTCAGGATAAGGAAGAGGCATGTGGACAGCTGAGGAGCCCAGAGAACAGCGGTTCCAGGGCTACACACTCACCAGGTGAAGGACATACAGATAGTTGCCGTTTTCCGTTGAGAAGCAGGTGTATGTGTCTGAGAGCTTCTCCAGCATCGTCATAGAGGAGATAATGACCGGGGCTAGGAGGGTGCTGAGCTGGTCCTCCACGGCGGGAAGCTGTAAGAAGGGAAGAACATAACATTGTTTAGAGGGCCAGACATCAGGGACAAAAGAATGGACAAGCCAGCAAGGGTCTCCACAGTTTTAAACTCACCTGGGAGGGTATCACTGTTTTGACGGGGTTGGTGGGGGGTGGCTGGAAGGGGCAAAAAGAAACTGCCTCCAACCCCCTTGGCTGGTAGTTGGAAAGTTGGGAAGGGTCAGCCAGCTAACTCTGCTGCTAAGGCTCTGAACCGAGAAGGAAATGTTAAAGAATCAGGCATGTTTGGGGAATGTGTGGGGACATTTAATGGAGAACTGACCAACTGTTAAGGAGGTTTGCTATGTGTACCAAAGCCCATGCCCTTTGCTGCAATGAGTCTACTTTGGGATTGTATCCTAAGAAAAATGATCAGGGACAGGGGCAAAGATCGTGTGCAAAGATGTTCACTATATCACAATTTACAGTAGCAATTGGAAAAAATGTACATGTCCAGTACCAGGAAAACAGTTAAATAAACAGCAGTACATCTGAATGATGGAAGAATATACAGTCACTTAAAATACTGGAGTGTTTCAATGACATGGAAAATTCCTCTGACACAATGTCATGTTTAAAAAAATTGTTGTGAATGCTCTGTATCTTAAAATGCATAGAAAAAGACAAAGTATTAATATTAAGAAAGTCAATAACAAAGTTATTACTTCTGGAGAGAGGGATTATAAGTGATTTTCCTCTGACTTTTAATTTTTCCAGACTTAACCCTATTTTTGTATCAAACATACCTTAACTTTTATAAGTTCTTCCTCCATCCATTCTCTCTGCCCTCCAAAAAAGGAACAAAATAACAAAATAAAAAGAAACTAGCCTAATTTATTGAAAATCTGCAGATAAAAATGGGATAAAGCCAGTGGAATGATCACGATTCTTAACACTAGAATGAAAAGAAAGGCAGAGAACAGCTGACCTTCCCTGACTTTGGGAGCCTTGACTGAAATAGGGAGAAAGCAGAGTCCCAGCTTGGAGCTGGTGAAGTCTACAAGGAGCTGCACAAGACCTTGCCTTGAAAACAACAGCCAGTGGTAATGTGTAACATTTGCAGTATGTGTGGACACAGCACTGTGGAGTGTATTTTGTCCCAACATTCTTGTGTGCAGTTGCTGCTCTGTCAGTTGAGCTTTAACAGTGAGTGGTTCCTTCTCATCATTGAGATCCCAGCTCAGATTGCTCCTCCCCTGACCACCCTTGGGCCCCCTGCCCTGGTTACTCCCCGTCCCACACGCTGTTTAACTTCTTCCACCCATTTATCACTACCTGAACTCATGGTGTTTATCTGCCCTCTGGTTTGCTATTTGTGATCCCTCTTCAGCCTGGATGTTCCATGAGAGCTGGATCATGTTGCCATGTTCACTGCTTATCCCAGAGGCCGGTGTGTAATAGATTCTCAATTAATATTGGTTGAATCAATATCCTTCCACATAGGCAAACATTTGTTGAATTATTCATATACCATGATTTTCTAAAGCTATCATTAACAAATTATATTAACAGAAAAGGCACTTAAAATATAGATTGTCTATAGCAACTCACTAAAAAAGTAGTAGCTTTTTCTGCACGTATATCAAGAATTTCTTTTGGTGGGGGAAAATGAAAATATTTACTGTTGACAGAGTATAAAGGGGCATTCTCATTTATTATTTGGTAGAATTATAAAGTGGTCCAATATCTTTGAATGGCTTTTGAGTTGATGTTTGTATTTTTAGGAAATTATCCTAAGAAAATAATAATATGTGGGGTCAAATTCAAGTACAAATATTCCCTCCAGCAACAGGTACAGCAAACTAGAAGCAATACACATGGCCAGTGTTGGAAAAATAGTTAAATAAACGGTGATACATTCATTCATACACTGGAATAGAATGCTTTCATCAAGATTTATGCTTTTGAGATTATTTAACTAAATGGAATAATGTTTTGATATAATGGCAACTGAAAAAGACAGGAAATAAAACTATAAATGTGGTAGGATCCCAACTATGTATAAAAGATGAAGACCCACAGAAAACAATGAAGAGCTAATAGCTCTGGATGGTAGAATTGTGGGTCATCTAAAAACTATTTCTCTGTATTTCCTTTCCTACAATTAATTCACATTAAAGGATCAGAAAAGAAAATGTGTTATACACATAATAAATAAAACTTAAGACTTTTTTTCTTTACATTAGTCATTTAGGAACTGAAAAACCAGCAATTTGATCCTGTATAAGGTTTTTAATAATAGGAAGAGAGACATTATCAGATAGTTTGTTTCTCAAATTGACCTCATTAAAATAGTAGTTTAAAAACAGAAATACTTAAAAACTCTTAATTTAAAAGTTGTATCTATTAACTACTAACAACAGAAGTCTTATAGCAGACATGTTTTTTAGCTTAAATAAAACCACTTAAATATCTCTGATCTCTGATATCTTGTTTTATTCCTAAAAAGACTGTAACCAGAACATCAGCGATGTTGAGGTTCGTTAACCTGCCAACGTAGAGCTGGTTCAGCTGATGATGAGGTCAGTTAGAACAGGAAGGGCGTTGATGGGCAACCAGTCTATGCGGCTGAGGAAATGCAAGCAATCTTTCTAGTGCATCCCCAATGAAAAACTGTTTATTCCAAAATAAACATGGGAAAAATTTTCAAAATAAATTATTCCTTTAAAATGTAGAGTATAAATTAAATAAGTGAAAATGACAACTACCTCCGAGCTGTAATATTAAAGGGTTACGCTGGATGTTCCCTTGCAAAAAATAAACTTTAATCCATAGTTTACACTACATACAAAAACTCAAAATGGATTAGACCTAATATACAACCTAAAACTGTAAAACTTCAGAGGAAAATATAGGGAAAATTCTTTGTACTCTTGGATTGGGCAAATGTTTCTTAGATATGACACCAAAAGCCTGATTCATAAAAGCCAAGAGTGGATAAACTCAACAAAATAAAAAAAACCCTGCTCTTTGGAAGATACTGTTAAGTAGATGCAAAGAAAAGATACGGACTGGAAGAAAATATTTACAAAACATATCTAAGAAAGGATTTGTATCCAAAATACATAACAAACTCTAAAAACTCACAAATAAGAAACAATCTCCCCAATAAAAAATGGGCAAAAGATTTGAGAACTTCATTAAAGAAGATACAGACATGGCAAATAAGCAGGTGAAATGATGCTCTAAATCATTAGTCATTAAGGAAATGAAAACTAAAACAGAATGAGATTCCTATAGACACCTGCTAGAGTGACTAAAACTCAAAAGACTGGCTGTGGCAAGTGATAGTCAAGATATGGAAGACATGGAACTCTCACACACTACTGGCGGAATAGGAAATGACGCAGCCCCTTTAGAAAAGTTTGGCAGTTTCCTAAAATGTTTAACATACACCGACATGAGCCAGCCTTTCTGCCTAGGCAATACTGGAAGAAGTGAAAGCCCATGTCCATACAAACACCTGTATGCGGAAGCTCACAGTTGCTTTATCTGTGTCATAAAATGGGAACAACCCACTTGTGTTACCATCAGCCAAAAGTGGATGAGCAAATTGCGGCGTCCTGACACAACAGATGACTGCTCTGCAACAAGAAGGAACCAGCTACTGATACAGCTACAACATGGAAGAATCTCGAAATAATCACACTGACAGGAAGAGGGCAGGCCGTAACCAAACCAAAACACAGCCCAGTACATTCTGTATCATTTCATTCATCTAGCAGTCTATAAAATACAAACACATCTACTGTGACCACAGGCAGCTCAGCGGTCCCCTGGGTTGGGGAGGTAAGCGAGGGATCATGAACTTTTGGGACGGTGGGTATGTTCACTTTACTGACTGGGATGGAATACAGGCATATATACATTTTAAAGTCTATCAAACTGCACACTGGTAATAAACGTTCAGTTTATGGTATGTCAATTATATCTTAAAACAGCTGTTAAAAGATTAATGTGTTAAGCTTATACAACCCATTATACATAGAGGAACTGATGACACCCGGTTTCCCTCTTGCGTGGGTAAACTTCCTCCTCCTCCCATCCTCATGTACCCAGGGAGCCCTGGGCACGCAGGGTGAGCTCACCGCCCCCGGGGCATCAGGAGGCTGGCCTCTGAGGACACACGCCCAGTCTGAGGGGCACTGGAGCCTGCACACCGCCTTGCTGATTCCTCGAGGGGCAGGCCCCTCTCCTGCCTGCTGGTGTTCTGTGCTTCTCCCTCCCATCCATGCCCCTGCCCTGCACTCACCTCTTCGCCCTCATTCTCTGACTGCCCAAACTTCTGCCGTAAACTCTCTTCAAACTCCTGGTCTGTCCAATAGAAGAGAACCTCTGCGCCCTCCGTGGCCACGAGGACGCACTTCATCTGCCAGGGGGAAGCAAGGCCAAGGTCAGCCCCAGGCCCTCCAGTGGCCTGAGCGAGGAGAAGGTTGTCACCCCCAGCGGGCACCACGGGGCCTTCCCGGGGTTACTTCCTCACTCTTCCAACAACTTGATAGAGCAGGAATCGGCAGTCACTCCTGTTTTATAGAGCAGGACTTGGCACAGGTTCAAGCGGCAGACCTCGGGCCGGAGCTCAGGCCTGTCTAATGCCAAGGCTGAGGCCTGGCTGCGGCACCTTCCAGCTCCCCCAGAGCGGCTGACCCACCACGGGCCTCCTGGAGCCAAGTGTTTTAAGGACTCTGCCCTTGATCTGGACACAGTGTCAACTGCACAAGGCAGGCAGGCGGTCTCATGGTTCATGGCAGATGGTCAGTGCCTGGTCTGGAATGGAGGGCGACTAGTGCACCTCCCTCCTGGCAGTTCAGAAATGTGTTTCTCCTCAAGTAAAAAACAGGTCCAGAAGAAGAGCTTCAAAGCCCAGAAAGGGTGGACTCAGCACTACAGGGATTTCATTTACAAGCTCCTCCTGCTGTGGGTGCAAACCAAGGCTGCCTGTCCCTAGTTCATTCTCACATCCACTTGGCTGCTGCTGCCTCGGCCACATCCCCCAGTGTATCTGGCTCTTCGGAGCCTCCTTTCCTACCACCCCCACACTTTACTGTGTGCCACACACTTCAGTGTTTGATTATATAGAAAGTGCTTTGTTATTCACCAGTGGATAGAGTCTTCATTCAGCTTCTTATGCTGTACCTTGGCCCCCTGGGGTGCAGCAAGACATTGACCCCCAGTCCCTGGGGCAGCCTGACCAGGCCTGGGGAGGCCGGAGCTCTTAGGTCAGCTGCTTGCAGCTGAGAGGACCTCAGGCCGGGGCTTCAGATCTCATGTAGCTCAGTGTGTCACACTGATGTGATCACACTGTGACGTGATCACACTGTTGATGTGATCACACTGCTGAAGTGCTAGGATGTGACGATTAGGAAGCTCTGCTCTAACTCTCCTATGAGCCGATGTCCACCTTCCTCAACAGACGCATAGCACCTTAAGGTCTCAAACTCAGGAACACTCTTCAGGACCCCCTATGTGACCAGTTTAGTGGTGCTTACTGAATTCTTCCCAAATCCCCAGTTGGTTTATCAACTCTAACTCAGAGCATCTGGCCTCAAGGTGTTTCTTGCACCGTGAAAAAAACAAAGAACGTAGCTGATTCCCACAGAATTGCTAAACACAAGGCAGAGACTGGAAGAGCAACAGAGTGTGCAGAAAGGGCTGCTGGAGAGGCTGCACGGTGACTCCCAGGTGACCAGGGCAAAGCTGGGGCTCAGGCTGATCTGATGGGCAGTGAGTGTATGGGGTGCGGAAAGGCAGGTCATGGAAAGGAGGCTATGGTCAGCAGCAGAAAGCCCTCATAACCTGGTAAAGGTGTGGGAAGTGACATGCTGGTCAGAGATGGGTGACATTAAGGAGGTGGAGGACAGCAGTCCTGGTGGGGTAATGAGAGCCCACTCCCTGGTGGATACCAGGGGGTGGGGGTGGTGGTGGTGTGTGTGTGTGTGTTGTGTGTGGTTTTGTGTGTGTGTGTGTGTGTGTGTGTGTGTGTGTGTGTGTAAGGGAGGGGGTGAGTATGAGACGGCTCTGCAGAGCCTGGGAGAGCTCCATCCACTGTCTGCCTCACCCTGTCCAGCCCCCGGGCCGGGCACATTCATCTACCTTGGCAGATACGGTGGAGCTCCCAGACAGCCGGAGGTCCAGAAAGCGTTGCAGCAGACAGACTCAGTGACCAGCCTGTGGAGAGCAGTGTAACATCCTGGGTCCTGCAAACGCTTAAAACAGAGAGGACATGAGGGCCAGCAGAGGCTCTCATTCTCGTTGCTGCTGGTTCCTGGGAGTGGACACGCTGGTGAGGTGGAACGGACAACGGTCTCTGGCCCTCAGGCGGTCTGCTCAGGACGTACTACCCATGGCCAGGACGCATCCTAGTGCCCTGTTTCCTGCCCACCCCTGCTCTTCCCCAATGACGAATACAAACCTGGCCAGCACAGCCCTTCGGATGTAGCATCTGCCCACAAACATAATTCTCACCTATTGTTTCCTTCTGTGCACTTTCATTTCAGCATGGGTCACTCAGAGCCACCACGTGGCCAGTGAAGCCCTAGGGAGCTTGCTGAGTGACTGTCCGGAGATAGCATAGCACATCCCCAACCAACAGGGAAGCAGTCCCAGAAAAGAGGAGGTATTCTGGGACCATGCAACGAATGGCCGTAAACCAACACCAAAGGCATCAGAGACTTGGTTCTAGATTTGGCTTTGCCACAGCACTTGAACCTCTCTGATCCTCAAACTGCTGTGAAATGCAGGAACAAACCACTGCTTCAGCTCCCTACAGGGTTATAGGGTTATAGTGAGTCAGGAAATGGCTGGTGGGACTACCCTTAGCAAACTGCTTTCTTACCCAGAGGTAGGGACACTTATTCCAATTTCCCAGCATCCCTTTGTCAAATAATAGGATGAACTAAACTGGTTCCAGAAGCATTCACATTTTGATGATAAAAGGCAGAACAATATAAAGCTTCAGCTTAATTAGGAAACCAAACATTGTAAGCAAGTAAGAGGTAATTAAGGTCTGCTGCGCGGTGGTGGAGGGGGTGGTGGTGGTGTCCGCTTCTTTTGCAACATAACAGAGTTGCTGTATCACCAGCAAGGTTGTTTTAATGTCATCAGTCCCAGAAAAATGGGAATGCTCTTCAGTGGACATTAGGTTCTACTTTTTTCCCCAAAAGGTTGTTGGAAAGAGAACCTCACCGGTGTGATTTTGTGGTTTCCCTCTCTGTTCTGCTCTGAAGTGGACCAGAGCACTTACTGGAGCTCCAGACGGCGCCGGGCCAACCTGCGCCCACCTCACCACCGGCCCCAGCAAAACGCCTCTGTGGCCGCCGCTCCCGGCTCCCAAAAGCTCGGGCTTGCGGCGCTCCCTTGGGCCGCGCGCGGCCTTTCCCCTGCAGGGCCGGAGATCCGGCGTGAGAATCCGCAGGGCGGGAGGGCGCAGCGGGCCGCCGTGGGGCTCCCATGCAACGGTACCCTTCCTGTTTGCCCGCACCCCACAGTCTGTGCAGCAGTTTCAGCCCCCTCCTCCCCCCGGAACCTCCCAGCTGCCAGCTACCCGGAGAAGAAGGGCTGGCTTGTGGCCCCACTTCGCAGCGGCAGAACCCCAGCTCGGAGCGCGGAAGCGGCGGGCTCACGGCCCCCAGGCAGGGGTCGGAGAGGCTGGGGGTGGAGCCCGCTTCCCCACTTCCGGGAGGGCCGCTCCGGGGTCCCGGAGAAAGCCCGCCGCCCACTGAGCGGGCAGCGTAGGGCCGCGCTCGACAGTCCGGGAAGCCCACATACCCGATCGCGGGGCAAACACCGCCCAGCTTGGCCGGCCTGGGGGGCGCACGCCCGGGGGGGCGCACTTCCGGGTGGAGCCACGTGATCGCCCCCGTGACCGCCCCGCCCCAGGGGGCTGGAAGTCGCCCTTGGGTTCCGCGGGTGCAAGCTCAGCTCCTTCCTGCTGCTCTCCGCTGGCCACTCCCCCCTGTCATCAAGGGGGCATCGAGCCCCGCGGAATTAGGGGCCTCGCCCGCAGGCGTCACGGCACCTTCTGTGGCCAGCACTGCTGGGCCCTTCCATTTGCCTTAGCATTAGCGATTCCCCACTGAAGCACTATAACGTCCCCATTTTAGTCCCATCTTAACAGAAGAGGAAACTGAGGCTAGAGAGATCTAGCTTAATGAGGGGAGGGGTTAGAATCAGAACCCAGGTGTCCTGGCCCCCGGCTGGGCTCTTTCCCATCCTCTGACTTTACTTGCTGAAGTGCAGTTCTGGAGCGAGAGCTGCCTTTCTGGGTCTGTTTTCTTTGGCCTTCTGGGGGAGACAGCCCGTCGAAGGGCCCAGTTGCCCCTGAAGTGCCAACGTTGTAATTTCTTTATAAGGGTTCTCAACCCATTATGGGGCTGGGGTGCATATTAGAGGCTTTGTTTTGAGCCTGTGTTTTCAAGATTTTCTTAAATTGTGTATCTGGAGTGATTGAAGATTGTGGGAGCTGAAGATCATGGAAGGGAGTAAACCCCTACCCAAACCCCCTTGCCTGGGTGCCTGCCACTGGGAAGCTTTGAGGCAGCCCAGCAGGGGATGAGTGGCAGGGATTTGCTGGAGTAGATTGAGCAGCCCCTGGGATAAGGGGGGTGGGGGAAGAATTAATAATTCCTTCATCACGTGCAGGCAAAGCAAGCATCACTGCCCTGCCCCTCCCCCACTTCACTGCCCTCCCTTCCCAGCCCACCTTGGGGACCAAACCTTCCAACTCCTTATCACAACACATAGCCCCAGGTAGGCATCTCTCTCCAGACCACACTTGAGATAATTCTGGCTGTATACTCTTTATCTTGCTGTCTTCACTCACCATGTTTCCCTATTACATCAAATAGAAGCATGAATTTCAGTGGTTGAATAAATCCCATCAAATGGATATGCTATTACTTATTCATTCTCACTACAGTAGTTTCCACTTTCCAGAAGCAGTGTGTGAGCACTCCAATTTCTCCACATCTTTGCTAACTTTTTATAGTCTATTTCAATTTAGACATCCTAGTGGGTGTGAAGTGATAACTCATTGTGAATTAGATTTGCATTTCTCTAATGACTAATGATGGTCAGCATTTTTCATGTGCTTCTGGCCGTATGTATTATATTCTTTGGAGAAAGGTCTTTTCAAACCCTTTGCCCATTTTGTATCTGTCTTTTTATTATCAACTTGTAAGAGTTCTTTATATATTCTGGATGCAAATACCTCATCAGATACATGATTTGCAAAAATTTTCTCCCATTATGTAGTTTGTCTTTTCACTTTCTAGTAGTATCACTTATAGCACGAAGTTTTCCATTTGGATGTAATTCAATTTATTTATTTGTAATTATGTCCAGGTTTTTGTGTCAACATAAATTGTAATTTCACTTGGGTGGGTAAATATCTATCAGTGGGATAGCTGGGATGTATGTTAAGTGTAAGTTTACATTTATATATATTAAATGACTGAACTGCTTTCTGAAATGCATGCACCATTTCACATTCCCCCTAGCAATACTGAGGGTTTTGCTGTTCTATAGGTTCCTTAGCACTTGATTTTGCCTTTTCTAACTTTAGCTGTTTTAGTAGGTATATAGTGGTATCCCATGTGGTTTTAATTTCCATTTTCCTAATGACTAATAATGCTGAACTTCTTTTCATGTGCTTATATACCATCTGTATTTTTCTCTGGTAAAGAGATCAAATTGTCCATTTAAAAATCGGACTGTTTTTCTTATTATTTATATGATTTCTTTATATATTTGGATACAAATCTTTTATTAGATATCTGTTGGTCTGTCTGCCTTTCCTTCTTTTGCCCGACTGGGGCTTTGTCTTCTCATTTTCTTTAGAGTGACTTTCAAAGAACAGATGTCTTTGTAGGTTTTGTGTATTTCTAAAATGTTTCTGCCTAAATCAGGGTCACAAAGATTTTCTCCTGTGTTTTCTTCCACAAGTTTTACAGTTTAAGGCTTTGAATTTAGGCCTATGATCCCTTCCAAGAAGGTTTTTGTGGAAGGTGTGAGAGAAAGGTTCAGGTTCATTTTTTTGGATATAAATGTCCAATTTTTCTAGCACCATTTTTGTTGAAAAATATCCTTTCTCTATTGAATTACTTGGACATATTTGTTGCAAATCAACTGATCATATATGTGCAGACCTATTTCTAAATTCTTTCTGTTCAATACATTTATGATTCAGATCACACTAAGGATTTTGTTGATTTTCTTAAAGAAAAGCTTTTGGTTTCATCAGTTTTCTTTGGTTTTCTGATTTTTATTTTGCCAGTTTCTGCACTGAAAGTTACTATTTCCTTTGGAATGGATTTGCTTTTATTTTTGGTAGTTTAAATAGACACTGACCCACTGATTTGAGATCTTATGTTTACCAGCAGAGTTTACTGCTTTAAATTTCCCCCAAGGTACTGTTTTATCAGCACCCACAACTTTTAATATGCTGTATTTTGTTTTTTAATTAGTTCAAAGTACTTTCTAAGTTTTCTTTTCATTTTTTTGACCCATGGTTATTTAGATATGTTATTAATTTCCAAATATTTGGTGGTTTCCCAGGTATCTTTGTTATTGGTTTCTATTTAAATTCCATTTGATCAGAGAATATGCTTTGTGTGACTTGAATCCCTTTGAATTTATTGATGGCATAGGGTATAGTCTGTCTTGGTGAATGTTCCATGTGAAATTGAAAAGAACATGTATTCTTCTTTGGTTGTATTGAGTGATCTATAAATGTCAGTTAGGTTCAGGTGGTTGATAATAATATTTGAGCTTTCTATATCCTTAAATGATTTTCTGTGTACTTGTTTTATCAAATACTGACAGAGTGGTATTGAATTCCCTAACTATGATTGTGGATGTGTCTGTTTCTTCTTGTGGTTCTGTCAGCTTTTGCTTCGTATATTTTGAAGCTCTGTTATTTGATGCAAAAATATTTATGATTGTTATATCCTCTTGAAGAATTAACCCCTATATCATAATGTTAAGTTTTGGCAAAATTTTCATTACACTAAATCTGCTTTGTCTGAGAATACTATAGTCACTATAGCATTCTTTCGATTAGTGTTAACATGGCATGTGAAGGAGTTCAGGACATCCCACCTCAAAATATGCCTCTTTGCAAATTGATTATTTTGAACTAAAAGCACTTGAAAATAGCAGGTGCAAGAAGGGCTCTTTGCCTTTCCCTTTTCTTTCTGAAAGCAGGAGATGAACCTCCTATGTGAAAGATACCTATCCAAGAGAAAAGAGGCATTCTTATCACCAGAGACAGAAGTCCAGGCGAGAGAAATCTGTACAAATAGACCTTGTTAAGTAACTCTTTTATCTTTCATCTCCCCGTATAGTTTAGTTACTTTTCCATAATTGCCACTCTTTGTTCAACCTAGCATACAAACACTTAAGCCTGGCCACTTCTTTAGGTCTTCATTTTTCTTGTTCCAATGTACATGTAAAAATCACTAAATGCAGTTTGCAGAGAAATTTTACCTCTCCTACATATGTAATTTCCAATCTTTTATTTTTAACCTACTTGTGTCTTCGTGTTTAAAGTGTGTTTTTTTGGCAGCAGCATATAATTGGATCTGATTTTTTATTCAGATTGACAATTTCTGCCGGACTGAGTTGTCAGATTGTATGTTAAGAGAACTTACAAATAATGTGGTGATTAATATGGTCTGGCTTGTCTATTAGTCTATAATCTTGCTATTTGTTTTCTATTTGTACTATCTTTTCTTTGTTCCTTTTTTCCTCTTTTCATCCTTTTCAAAAAATTTACTGATTAGTCTTACGATTCCATTTTTATCTCCTTTATTGGCTTCAGGACCAGGACTGGGGTAAGGAGCATGAGATACTCACCTTCAGTAGAAAATTTAAAGGGATGTCAAAAAAATTGGTAATCAGGATAAATACTATTTTAATTTGTGTCTTTAAAAGTCAAAATTAATGCAAAATATCCATGATGAAAAAATCAAGAATTTAAATGTAAACATGATCAGTATTTTTTATTTTTCCTTTTGTCTTAGGCTCCAGTGTAGCATGGCATAACACTATTACTGACTGCAGGTCATTTTCCTTCTCTTTTTCTATGTGTATTAATTTTGTATTTTATACAGATATTGTAAATAATGCATTGAAAAGGCTCTGGATTT